CGACTCAGGACCACCCAGTTCCCACGTAAATTGAGTACCATATTTCATCTGAATGGGATCATCAGTGGTTGCGTTTCTGGGGTTTTGCGGAGATGAAGAAAGCTTGGCAAAAACGTTTTATCCAATGTACTGGTATTACCAATGAGACTTGAGGTGATGAATATGCTTTGGAAGTCGTAACCCGCGCATTCTAGTCGCAACCACGCGGAGAGCCACCCAGATCCAACCAGGTTAGAGCTCCGAAGGCTGCGATAATCCACTCCGCACCCCACGAACATACTGATGAATACCGTCGCTCCAAGTGGTTGAGATGCCTCAATGAGGAAGCCTTCGACTCGTCAGATATATCCGGGGGAAGTGGACTAGGGGTCGATGTAAACGGCTAGAGTGGACGAGTTGTCCAGGGTGCATCCTCCTTCTTCCCCCAAAGAACTGTCGACCTGGCCCCACGTCTCCGCACCCTCCTCTCCTCTCCACGGGGGACACGGAAGGCATTGGATACCTCCGCACTCTCCCACACACGGCTCCATCATGGAGTTATCTAAGCGCCTCGTGGGGCCATAGATCTGTGTTGAGGCTAAAAGGCCACTCGTTTCTCCTTACTCTCAAGGGAAAGGACCGAGAGAAGAGGGACACCACGCATCTTGTTTCCTTTCTTCTTCTTGTGTACCCTTATTCAATCTATCCGTTGGTAACGGCGTGTGTTTGCGTATTCTTTGCGGAAACGCTGCAGGAATCATGGGTTCCAAGAAGTACTTTGGCCTCACGGGCAACGCCCTCAACAATCTAAGAATCGCCCTCATCATCGCGCCCAGCTTCATTCTTTACGGGTACAACATTGGCGTCGTCGGTGGCCTGCTGACGGAGGAAGACTGGGTCAAAACGTTCCCCGAGATCGACACCGTCAACACAACCGGAGCCCAGAAATCGGCAAACTCGACACTCCAAGGCTTCATCGTCGCCACCTTCACTATTGGCGCAACTATTGGCTCACTATCTTGCTCCTGGACCGGCGATATCTACGGTCGCCGCAACATCATCTTTGTCTCCGCCATCATGACCCTCATTGGCGAAATTCTCATGGCAGCTGCTTTTGGCCTCCCCCAATTCGTCGTTGGCCGTGTTCTCACTGGTCTCGGCATCGGGCAGCTTAGCTCCATTGTCCCAGTCTGGCAGTCCGAGACGTCTGCTGCTGCTAATCGCGGCCGGCAAGTGGTCATATCTGGCGTGTTCATGTGCGTGGGCTACATGCTCGAATCTTGGATCGATCTCGGGTTTTTCCAATTCCACTCTGGTCCCATTACTTGGCGCCCACCTCTGGCCATCGCCGTATTCTTCTCCATTGTTTTAATGGCCGCGATTTACTTCTTCCCGGAATCACCCAGATGGCTCGTTATGAAAGGAAAGTCAGAGCAAGCTCGCGCCGTGATTTCCGTCCTGAAATCGCTTCCGGCGGATTCTATGGAGGTTCAGGCTGAGCTTTCCGGGATCGAGTATTCCCTCGAAGAAACAAAGGGCACACAGGTCTCTTTGAAAGATGTCCTCAAGATGGGCGAAGACAAGCTTTTGTATCGCTTCTGTCTGTGCATGTCGCTTCAATTCTTCCAACAGATGGCGTATGTTGTTTCCCTTCCAACACTTTCTCATTGGCAATAAGATGACTAACTCTGCGTTCAACAGTGGTTCCAATCTCGTCAGCGTGTATGCACCAATCCTTTTCCAACAAGGCCTCGGTCTCTCTAGCCAGTACTCTCGCATTCTCAGCGGCGGAACCCTGACGTGGAAATTCCTCGCCTCCTTCATCGCCTTCTTCACGATCGACCGGTTCGGGCGACGCGCTGCATTCATCGTCAGTGGCGCGGGAATGTCTCTTTGTATGATCGCACTCGCTATCGCAACATCGTTCGGAACCGATAACTACCCAGCTCAGATCGCAGCCGCCTTCTTCATCTTTCTCTACAACACGTGGATCCCAATCGGCCTCATGGGGGCAAACTACCTCTACTGCACAGAGGTTGCGCCACTGCGTCTGCGTATGGCGATGAGTTCCATTTCGACGGCGAATCACTGGCTATTCAACTTCCTCGTCATCATGGTTACGCCGGTTGCTCTCAACACCATTGGATGGCGCTACTATATCGTCTACGCCGTAATTGCGGCCGCTATGCCGGTGACCGTGTATTTCTTCTTCCCTGAGACGACGGGACGGAATCTCGAGGAGATTGACTTGCTATTCCGTGAGTCACCTTCGTGGATGGCCACGGTGAAGTATGCCAAAACACGACCGATTGCTATGCCGCAGGAGTTCAACTCCGAAAAGGGCGAGAAGGCAGACCACTTGGAGGGAGCTTGAAGTTGCATGGACTGTACATATAGATTGTTATCATAAGATTGGCTGGTAGGAGGCCACACTTCCAGCGGCATTAGTGAGGGTCATTCGTGATCGCCCACTAGGGACTATGTTAATGACCCGGGGTACGCTGCAGAGCCGATTTCAATAGACAATTGCCCCATTTCCTCCTTCAATTCTCGAACTGCGTCAAGAAATACGCTCCCAATTTTCATCCGCATGTCGTTTTGGAGCACCTCCTCTATCCCGTCTGGTAGACTAAGGTACCCTAGTAGACAGCATTGGCAGATGTCATGTGCCTTTAAATCTTTTTGATAAGCTCGTACAAGCGAAAGAAGAATGCTCCAATCAACGGAGAAGTAGTCATCACTACGGCAAGGACACCAGCCGGTGGGATAGGGTGGTACTCCCTGGGTCAGGATACGCCTGTGGATACTGGAGCAATTATGGATAAATCAGTGATCAATAACCATACCTACACCTGCAATGATAGAATCTGATTTTCTCGTGGCAAATGTCGCAAACTAGGAATTCCTTTGGTCAAAGTCATCTGCCTTTGCGAAGTCATGTCTTTTCTATAACAACGTTTATCTGCGTGGTGCCCATTGTGGAGCAACCTGCCAAATTTCATCGGTAGTGGCTCAATCTACCTTGGATGTCAATTGTTCCGTCAAAATGCTCCGAAGACCAAGCAGAAGTCTGGCTTCTTTCAATTTACAATTTGTTTAGGACAAGAGTCGTACCGAATTAGTAAAACAGCTGTTTTGATAACCACATATGCGTCGGATATCGAGTCGCCGAACAAGTCTTTCCTTTAATGCAGCTTCCTCTATGCAAGCACTCACTTGAGGACAAGACAACATAAATTAAAATATTCAGGTACTCAATTCAGTCAAAGTGACAGCCTACATGGATATCGATTTTCGCACTATGGTTGGCGATATGGCTTATTTACGATAAGCTCTCGCATAGCTTCAAAAAAAGATGACTTCTATTAGGCTCAGCATCGAGATCGAAACAAATAACTGCGATAGAGAAAACTTCAATACATCCAGAATCGCCTCTTGTGGATGGGCTAGACGAAGGGGCATCTTCAGAGTGCGGTTGCACTCATTTTGCGGGTGACATCATCTACCGACAAGGAATTATTGACGGCTTGCCTAGTCATTAATCTCAGAGGGGACTATCGACGAGGGGTCATGCAGCCCAGATCTGACATCACAGATGTCGCGTTGGGCCAAGATTCTTAGCAGTCCAGCCAAGAGTCTTGGCTTGGCTTGGCCTCAACTTGGCTTCACTTGGCTGCACTCGGCTCCAGTGCATACGTCGATCCACCCTTCAAGGGCCCGAACCTAGATCCAACATCATATTCAAGATTGCCTAGATATTCAACTTCAAGCTTGACTTTGTGACCGTGAGAGAAGTTCGAGAACGACGTGCTGGAGGCAACGAGAAGTCATAATAGAGGTGAATTTGCCTTTGGGCATAACCTCGGCGCGAGATCGGGGCGGATGACCCCTAAAAAGGCAAGGTGACGGGTCGCTAGTGGTATCCGCTTCATTTCCCATCCGATTTTCGCTCCTGTCCCCTCAACTGTTTTGCTTATGCCAAACTCATGGAACAACCAGACTACTCTCTCATATCACTTGCCATCTTCATGGCCAAAGTTCCTTTCTATCGGGATATCCGTCATCGCCCTCGGTGAAGACCGTCATCAGTCGCCCCGAGTCCGATTGCCGAGGCTCATGATTAGACGAGTGGTTGAAGTTCCTCTCATCCTTCAGGCGATGATATTCCCGTCCGCCCACCCGTCCGCTACGCAACTTCCATAATTGATCCAAGGTACAGTCAAAAGTGGCAAGTTACGCGCATACGCGCATCTTTTGGCGAGGAACTCGCTGATAACGTATAAGCGGACACGGCCGCAATGTCCACACATGGCGCTCCTTTGATATGAACTGATGCGACAATACTCATTGTTTTCCAATGGATTGCCAGGCCATACCCTGCTCATTACCTAAGGACCTCCCCTTTTCGCACCACATGCCACAACAGCCTTCCTAACTTGCTTAGTCTTGGGTGTGGGACAGCCGCCCATGCGTCTGAATTGCCGGTTTCCCCGGCCTCTCTTGCGGCGCTGCATCGGGCCCATCCGCTTCCCCTTGCTGCCCACATACCGAGATCACCAGACTATCCCGATGTTATCTGCTGTTCAACGGGTTCCTTTTCATTTGCTCAACGGCTTTCTGCCAGCTTGTAACATGCACGCTACCCACCCTCTGCCTTCCGCACCTCCTCGACATGGATCGAGTTCCCGAAGCTTTTCTTGAATAGACTCAAACTACCCCGACATGTCCTAGTTATGCTTGATTTAGCTCGATTTAGCTCCTGCCAGATCCAGACTAGCCAGGTTCATCGTGAACCGCCCACATTTACGACCGGCGGAGACGTGCACTTTCAGACTTGCCAATGTAATCTCACCTTCTTGACGAAGGAATTGCTCCGTTCGGGCTTATCAGAGCCCTGTTAATGTTGGCCATGCAACCGTTCAATCATGATATTGACAGACAGAACGAAAACAAATCGAGTATTTATATAGCCCAAATATCCGCGGACAATGATCATAATGCCTCTCTTCACTCCCATCCTCAGTCATCTCTCATCCCTCAGGTCTCTAGGTCAAAATGGTTGCCAAGGCTCTCTCCGTCGCCCTTCTCGCTGGTGCCGCTTCGGCCACTTGCCCTCTCTCTATTGAGATCAGCAACGCCGAGAACCACACCGTCAACGTCGCCGTTACCAACACCGGCAGCGAGGCCGTCTCCGTCTTCAAGGGCAACACCGTCTTCAGCGACCATGCCACCCAGGATCTCCTGGTGACCGATGCCGGTATGTAGATGCAAGCTATTACATCATTGGGGATAGCATCTAACAAGGACCAGAGGGCACTGCTCTTCCTTTCGAGGGCATCTTCGTCAACTACAAGCGCACTGGCCTCGACGCCAAGCTCTTCCAGAAGATCGCTGCCGGCGAGACCATCACCGTCCCCGTCAACGCCGCCAAGAGCTACAAGCTCGACGGCATTGCCGACGCCAAGGTCACTGCCATCCAGGGCTTCCGCTACGCCGTTGGTGACAGCATCCCCTCCGCCTTCAAGGACTTGGCTTCCTGCGCCGATGTCACCTCCGGCGAGGTCGAGGTCACTGTTGACCAGACCACCGCTGCTGCGTACGTCCAATTCCAATATTCGATGCGAACAGCGATCTTCATACTAACCTGACATCTACAGGGACCACATCTCTCGCAAGCGTGAGGAGCCCTTCAACTCCCGCATCCAGAAGCGTGCTATCACCTACTCGTCCTGCACCACCGCGCAGACGACCTCCCTGAAGACCTCCGTCACCGACGCCATCTCCATGGCCAAGGCCGCCTCCACCGCTGCAGGCACCTCGTCCTACTACTACACCACCTGGTTCAAGTCGACCTCGGTCGCCTCCAAGGTCCAGACCATCTACAACGACGTCGCCGGCGTGCAGACCACCTCCCCCAAGATCTCCTGCACCGACACCTACAGCGACTGCACCGACGGCAGCGCCCTCCTCTACACCGTCCCCTCGGACAACGTCATCGTCCCCTGCCCCAACAACGGCTTCTGGGGCTTCCCCGAGCTCGCCTCCCAGTGCTCCGGAGACGACTACGACCGCGCCGGCAGCATGCTGCACGAGATGACCCATCTCTACGGCACCACCGACTGGGCTTACGGCCCCACCGCCGCCCAGGCCCTGTCTGCCACCAAGGCTGCTGCCAACGCTGACACCTACGAGATGTACGCTGAGAGCGTCCGCCTCGGTGGCTGCACCACCGGCTAAGCGTGTTCGTCGACATGACGTACATGCATAGTTTGGTCTGGGCGCTGTTCCCTTTCGGGGATGAGAGCCCTTCCTTCTTTCAATGTCTATAATTCAGTTGGCGGTCCGGGTAGAGTGGGAACTACTGCGGGATATTTATATGCCTGGGGGAGCTTGATCGGGGAATGGCTTGATTTGAGCTGAGTGCTAGAAGTAGCCTATGAAGTAACGGTTGAACTCCTGAGATCTTTTGATTGTCGCAAGTGATTGCTCGACTGTGGAACATGTGCTCGTAGAAGAATCCTTTCTTATCAGCTTGTAGACGTAGCCGTATGGAATTCTGCATGTCCCCAGACCCTATGGGTTTTCAGTCATCCGAACTTGCAACTCCTTGTGGTTGTAGCTCCAGTCTCCTTCTTGCCTGATTCCAATCGCGCCCTTTCCCACATATTGTCAAAGTGATTCTCTCAAAGTCTCCAGAACTCACAGGTTACTAGATCGTTTCTTCTCAAATAATTTTCATTTAGATCAACATTTAAACCATTTGACTTGGAAAGTAGAACGTTCAGTCGCGAAATCGGCTCATCCATCTTGCATTGGCGGTCTCCCCTGTAGCAATTTATACTTTCATGTCACTTCCATGACGTTAGTCGTGTTCACTCTGACCTCAGATGTGCAGTATTACACACTCATGAAGCTGATTGTATGGAGAACAGCAAGATTGGCAGTCCTCAACTGAGCGCGTGACGGTGAAGTCGCGTTAGCCGCAAAACTTACAGACTACTTTGATTGTTTGCACATTTTGCCGAAACCTTACTTGAGAATTGAGCCTAAAGCTTTCTCTTGCGTGGAAAAGCTTACGTATATTTTTGATATTGAACTCGGAACAGACAGTCTTATAGGAGTTTAGGTGGATTGTCGTTACGAATATTTCCAAAGCCGAACTCTGAATGATCAACAGGGCTTTCCCGCCGAATGTTTGCTAGAAATAGACATGATCTACAAGGTTCAATGTTGTTCTTGTGTCAACAAAGCTTAGTAAATTGCGGCCCCATCTGATTGCCAGCATCATCGTCAACCCGATCTCGTATTTCAGCCATAATCGCCCTTGTATGAATGTGTTGGTTCTCTCAAAGCATTGCGGAAGACACTGGAGGTTCGAGGAATGCTCGTGAGATCGTATCTAAAGCCTCATGAAGACGAATGCTATCAATTTGAACCATGAGCGAAGTTTCTGAGCCTTGTAATCAAGAAGAGAGCTCGGCATAACTCGGCTATAACATAATCTTCGAGTCTTTCGATTGTCATACAGATGAATGCTCTCTCTTATTGTGACGGCGACAGCCGTTGCCTGGGCCAAGCTCTAAGAGGCCAAAGCCAACAAGCCCAAAATGGATGACGCCTCAGAACAACCATTCGTTGGCGTATGCTCTACGTATGTTTTCCTTTCGTTTTCTGAGCCGGAAATCCCTCGGTGCTCTCTGAGTTTTGCCATCTTGAACGTGAGCGACGCAGAATCGCATGGGACAAAGCTTTCTTCGTTTTCGCGACTCTGCCACATTCGGCTTTAGAAGGAATTAACAGCTGTTTAGTGGGTCCAATCAAATGTGATCGCCTCCACCGGAAAATAACACAGGCCTCGTCATTTTCCGATGTGCTGCCAAGACCAAAAACGAAGGGTGGTCGGATGGTTTCGCAGCCGGACTGGGAACGTAGCTATTCCCAATTTTCCCTAAAAGAGGAAACTTCTTCAACTCTGGTGGCTGACTCAGCTCACCCTGCGCGAAGAACACGAATAGAAAGAGAGAAAGCGGCTCTCAGGGGTAAAGCGGGGATAACAAAAGCCCCCTTACATGTGGGAAACGGCACTTCCGGGGCCCCGGGAGACCGTTGGCGGGCGGCGTCGCGCCGGCCGACTGGGCGTTTATTGTGCATGAAAGGCTACTAACGGCCGCTCATGATTTGAGCTGTGAAAGACGAACAGTGCTGCAAGTGATAAACCTCAAGTTGAACGATCGGAGTGCTGTCAGCTTGTCACCTCTCGTGATCTGTTGGCTGTTCCTGTTCGCCCGATCGGAGGGTCAACCGCCGGTCGGCACCCCCAGACCGCCGCCATGTAACGCTGGCTGCAATGCACGGCACCAACCAACGTCCAAGACGCACGAAATGCTTTTAGCCAGAGTTTCAGAATGTTCGACCTCGGCAGCCCGCTCAACCACTCGCTCTACGCTCTGTACGGCTAGTAGGACAGACTGCTTCGGTGTTACAGTGGTACACTAAGAAAAACAAAGTTTTTGCCCTGAGGAACTGCTCTCCGCCAAGGTGGAAACGAAACCGTGGGGGGAGGAGTTGGAGGTGGACTCTTAAGGGTGGCACGGGTGGGCAATGGGAGGCCTTTCACAACTGCGCTGTTCCTTGAAAGGGGGTTTGACAGCTTCGCGAAAGAAAGTTCGCGAACACGCGATTGCGAAAGACCGAAAGAGAGAGAAAAGAAAGAATGCCTTACTCCGATTGCCACAGTTCCCTCAGACCAACCAGCCAACCAACACGCCATAGACGAACCAACGCGTCCCGTCCAGTCAGCTCCCCAGGGTTCCGTCACATAGTAAAGTTCATCCCCTTCGACCAATCCCTAGCATTTCCACGAGAGCACGGCATCTTTTGTGAGGCATAACTCTGTAGACGGGCTTGACAACCGCGCCTTCGTGGCCACTCACTGCGCCATGCTCCCCCCTCTCCCGCAAAAGCCAAGACTCCCAAGAGCCCAAGTTGGGAAAACCCCAATATGGCAGTCATTCGCCCAGTCCGATCTCCCGCTTGCTTGAATGCAGCTGCAGCGCAGCAAGACGTAAGTGCCCAGCTCCGTCCCGGGCGGCCCGGCGCAAGAGGCATCCTTGGATTCGAATGGAACCCAGGAAAACCTTCCATTGTTGTTGGCCCGCCCTTCTAAGAATAGGGGGCTCGTGCTGGGTGCAATGTTCGCAACTCTCGCATACCGACAGGGCTGCCGCCGCAGAGACGCAGACGCGCAAAATTCGGGAACCCGTCTTTGCCGCTCGGGGCTCAGGGGTATATCTGACTGCATGGAGCACAAATGCACCTCGTAAGCCTATCAAGATGAACTTGCCGATATCTTTCAACACCTGGACATGCTGCAGCCTCGAGCACCAAAGAAACCCGGACAACTCGTAGGGAGGAAAAGTTGAACATCAGACCAAACCTTTGGGTTCGCGGCACCTGGGTGATCCCTGCCGGCAGTGGTCGTCAGCCCCCCTGCTCCGAGTCATTCGCGCGCCTGTTTGCCGTTGACGTTGGTCCCAGCGGCCCCAGAAAAGCAATTAGTTTGCTTCGTCAACATGGGGCTATGGTGAACTCTATTGTAGTGCTCCGTAGGGGGGACTCCTCAACTCCGTAAGGTGGTTGTGAACAGTGTTGGCCGCGAGGGGGTCGTACGACGTCGAAGTTATTTAAGCAAACCGAGCCGTCACCCCAATCTCCGAATACTGTTGGTTTGCTAGCTTAGCCTCGAGGTGAACAACTTTTCCAACTTTACTACATTCTTTTGCATCTAGTTCGTTTCTACTATTCACAACAGCAACATGTCATTCGCTCAACTCTCGCTCGCGGCCATGTTGGCCGTGGGCGCTTCCGCCGCGCCTTACTCTGCGCGCAACGTCAACACCTCTGGCGTTGTCGCATCCACCTATTTCGCGGGTTACCACGCGAACCGCGGATTCCCCGTCTCCGACATGCCGTGGGACAAGTACACCGACGCAAAGTACGCCTTCGCCGAGACCGCCGCAGACGGTAGCCTGAACCTCACAAAGTCGGCTCCCGACCAGCTTCCCGTCTTTGTCGCGGCCGCCAAGGAGCACGTATGTTGCCCAGACATCCAATCGAACATCTAACACAGTATCTAACATCTCCGCAGAATGTCAAGGCCCTCGTCTCCATCGGAGGCTGGACCGGCAGCCGCTACTTCAGCACCGCCTTCGGCAGCGCAGAGAACAGAACCGCCTTCGTAAAGACCTGCCTCGACTTTGTCGAAAAGTACAACCTCGACGGTCTCGATTTCGACTGGGAGTACCCCAACCGCCAGGGCCTCGGCTGCAACACAATCGCAAAGGACGACACGGCAAACTTTGCCTCCTTCCTCACCGAGCTCCGCCAGAAGCAGACCAAGCAGCTCTACCTCACTGCCGCCACCAGCCTGAACCCCTGGAACAACGCCCTCGACGTCGCCAGCACCAACGGCACCCTCTCCTCCTTCGCCAGCTCCCTCGACTACCTCATGGTCATGGGCTACGACATCTACGGCGCCTGGGCTGCTACCGGAGGTCCCAACGCGCCCCTCGCCATGACGTGCGACGCGCGCAACAACCAGGGCGGTATCAAGGAGGGTGTTGAGAAGTGGATTGGCGCCGGTATCCCCGCCAACAAGCTCGTTCTCGCCGTTGGTGCCTACGGCCACGGGTTCTCCGTCAACTCTACCAACGCTTTTGCCTCCCCTGGTGTCTTGAACGCCTACCCCGTCCAGAACAGCACCAACCGATTCCAGGGCAGCAGCTGGGACGACGACCCATCAATCGACGAGTGCGGTGCCGCTTCTCCTCCTAGTGGAACCTACACCTTCTGGAGCATGATCAAGGAGGGCAAGTTCCTCGACGAGACGGGCAAGCCTCGCGACAGCATTGCTACTGGATACGACAACTGCAGTCAGACTGTGAGTTTACCCTCTCCTAGTACTTCTTGGCCGAGAACATAGAAACTGACATGATGAACAGCCCTTCCTCTACAACGAGACTGCTCAAGTCTGGGTTTCCTACGACAATGTCCAGTCCCTGACCGCCAAGGGCAACTACGTCACATCCAACAAGCTGGCTGGCTTCGCCATGTGGGAGGCTGGTGGTGACTACAACAACATCCTCATCAACGCCATCCGCGCTGCTGTTGGCTTGTAAGGGGCTGGTAGCAGTCAAGCGTGCATTGGTTAGATAAAAGGTCTCAGCGACAAGTTGTAATAGCATCATCTATGGATTACATACTATTTCCTTCTCATACCCTGTCACACTAGTGTCAATATACTCAGTATACTATGCTCAAGTTGACCTTATAAGTCGCTTAAAAAGTCTTGAGTGTTGCTTGCACAAGTCATAAGTCTCATAACCCATTCATCTGCCTGTCAATAAAAGTTTGCTGTGGTATCTACCCATGATGGTGGTTTGATGCGTTATCATCTCAAGCGGATGGGCAGGTGACAAAAGGACATCGGCCACTGTAGCCTCCTCAATTGTTCCTCCTGTCTCTTCCATCTGTGCTCAAAGGTTTTGGCCATTGGGTATACTCATCAAAGAAGCCTCTCATTTAGGTATGCTCACTGTCTCTCTCGACTTCTCGAATCTGGTGGAACAAAGGGCGAATATCAACAAAATAAGAAGTGTCTCGGTCTCCATTGTCTTGCTATCCTGTAGGATGATGCATCAAGAGGCAACAACCTAGGTAAGACTGCGAGGCTGTATGGCTTGTACGGCGCGCTTCTCATGAGCTCGTACTGACAGGAATCTCATACTGGAAAGAGGCAGCCTTTTCAGGAAGGCTCCTTCCTTGAACTACTTCGAGCGTGCCTGCCTGAATTCGGTTCGAGTCGAGAACGTGTCCGCCTCAGCGTCGCGAATATAAAACTGCCTCACTTTTTTTGACTGAGCAACAATTCTCATCACCTTATTCACTCACATCACTCTCACAATCTCACAAATATCTTGCAACTCATCTTGCTCCACTATCCACTTAAGCCACCGCGACTACTCGGGTTCAAGTATCCTCCTTCCGAGTTGTTCGTCCACGCATTTGAAATTTACCCTGTCAACTCACATCTACCTCTCGCAGTAAGTATCACCGCAGTCTCATCTCCTCAACCCTCACTTCATCCATCCTTTTCTCAATCACCCACCCAAGTTTCACTCACCCTCACCACTGCGGCCCATTCACTCACAAATTTACCAGATACCCGCAATACCAACAATCCCAACCTCAAAAATGCCTCCCAAGACCACCACATCCGAGGCCGCCGCCACCCTCAACCTCACCGACGGCGAACTCAAGCTCGCCCTCGCAATGATGAAGCACGTCGAGCGACCTACCACCGCCGTTCTCAAGAAAATGGCCGAGGAGGCCGGCCTCTCCAGCGCCTCCAGCGCCCGCACCCTCCTCACCCGCGCCGCCACCAAGCACGGCTGGTTCGCTGGCGGCGGCAGCAGCAGCAACAGCACCGATGATGGTTCCGGCTCCATCCCCACGCCCCGCCCCAAGAAGACTGCCACCCCTCGCAAGAAGAAGATAGCTGAAGTCGAGTAGGGCGCCGAGGAGCAGGGCACGCCTACCAAGAAGCGCGGCCGCAAGAGCAAGGCGCAGAAGGCTGCGGAGGAGGCTGCTGCCGCTGAAGCTGCTGCTAAGAAGGATGTGGATGATGAGGAAATGAAGGAGGATGGTGATGGTGCTGTCAAGGAGGAGACTGGTGATACTGATGATGCCAAGGAGGAGGATGTCGAGCAGAAGTGAGATGGACGCAACCACATTGGGAACTTTACTTTGTTCGTTGGGTTTGGCAGGATGGATGGATGGGCGACTGCTATTTCTCACTCTGCATTGATGATACCCTTTCTCTTGGCTTGGACAGTTGCTGTCTAGCTGCATGGTTGCGACGTATGGTACTGAGCCCAACTTGAGGCTACATGATACTGGGGGGAAGTGCTTTACATGAGGTACTTTGAGAACAAGGCATCACATCAGAGTTAGGCCTTGAATCGATTCGTACAAGGTGGACAGCTACCTTCGTTAGTAATTGTGCCATGGTGACTCCCTGCGTAGAAAACTTCGCATCTCACACTGGTGGATGAAGTGACAGGTCACAGAAAAGTCCCCCCCCTCCACTCCCTGAAGCCACATTCATTTCGACTTTGACCTTGGTCGAATTTGTTTGGTATTGATGTTCAGTTTCTCCGCATCAGCGTCGATTAAAAAAAGGAGAACCCATTAACGCGCAGTGACGCGCTTTGGCGTCGACCGCGGAAGTCATGACATCATCTGCCCTCTGGCCTTCAATGCCATTTCAAAAGTCGACGCTATCCTCACCAGAATCATTCCTTAAAACAAATTGAGCAGTCGCAACTGACAACTGTGCTTACGAAGTCGCGATTTAATCCGTAAATACCCAAAGAGAACCTCGCAATGACACCGCCAAAAGACTCCACATCCAGCAACTCTGATAACGAAGCCGCCGACACTGGAGCGAAGCGCAAAGCCTCGGAAGCCTCACAGCCCGAATACACCCAAGACGATGAACCCGACACGAAAAAGCCCAGGCCGGATAATCCAAATGGAACAGTAGACTGGCTCCTAAGCGACGAAGCCTTCTCCCTCGCCTTCCCCTCCCTCCCACAAGGCCACGGCGAAATCGACTGGGACGAAGGCCAACATCGCAAGGATCCTCCGCCCGAATCCGCCGGAAAGAAATCCAGTACATCAAAGGCCTCAAAGAAGAACGGCAACGACGAGAACGACGACGATGAAGGGGATGGAAAGGAACCCCGCCTAACTTACCCAGACTCCGCCCTCACCCCCTTCCAAAACCTCGTCGCCGCCCTCCTCTTAAGCAAACCCATCTCCCACCGCCTCGGCCTCCGCACCATCAACACGCTGCTCAACCCGCCCTTTGGCCTGCGCACGCCGCGGGATCTCGACGAAGCTGGGTTCGAGGGGCGGAGGAAGGTGATGTGGGAGGCGAGGACGCAGCATAAGGAGAAGACTGCTGTGCAGCTGGGGGATTTAGTTGAGGGGGTGAGGAAGATTTGCGGTGGGGCAGATGGCGATGGCGAGGGAGACGGCGAAGGAGAGGAATCTGAGGGGGATGTTGAGAAGATGACGGCGTTGAGGGAGATGGTCAAGGGAATGGAGGCGAAGGAGGCGCAAAAGAAGGTTGAGAAGGTGTTGACTGATGGGATCAAAGGCGTTGGACCGACTGGAGCTGGGATATTTTTGAGAAGGGTGCAGGAGGAGTGGGAGGAGGTATTTCCGTATGCTGACAAGAGAGCTCTTGAAGCTGCTGTCGAATTCGGAATCATTGAGGAGGGTGACGGTGGGAAAGAGTTGGCGAATGTGGTTGAGGGGGAGCGGGGCAAGTTTGTGAGGATGCTGGATGTGCTTGTTGGGATTCAACTTGAGAAGAAGATGGATGAGGCGCTGAAGATGGCGAGAGGAGACGGGGAATAGGTCACCGGTGTGGAATTTGTTGGGTTCTTTTCGTAATTCGTCAGCTGGAGCTATCAACCCGGTCTCAATGATATCCTTGCCCCAGTTCCAGATGCAAATTTCCTTATATGCCGCTGTGCCTTACTTCGCTTGATACTTCCTCGTTTTCTAGTAACGCGGGTTCTCGCCATATCCCTGGTTCTGTTGGTAGCCCTGATTCCCGCCATAGCCTCGGCCACTCTCATGACCTTGGTTACCCCCGTAGCTCTGGTTACCCCCGTAGTTCTGGTTCCCTCCATAGTTCTGACCCTGGCCTTGTCCGTAACCTTGGCCCTGGTTCTGATTGTAGTTCTGGTTGTAGTTCTGACTTTGGCCGTAGTTCTGGTTCTGGCCTTGGCTCTGGTATTGACCAGAGTGGTACTGCTGGTACGAGGATGGCGGCTGATTCTGATCAGGCCGGTACTCCTGGCTCGGAGGAGGGTTGTAAGACTGCTGATGCGAGCCCTGTCCACCATACTGCTGCGATGGAGGCGGCGCGTAGTTGCCACCCTGAGACTGACCCGAGTGGTGCTCACCACCGAGCTGAGATCCCGCCGTCGGCGCACCGACGCTGACATTCTCGTTGCCGATGTCATCCGGCACGTTGATCTTGACCTTGGGAAGGTACTTTTGCACTTTTTGCTCGACAATGTTCTGGACAAACACCCAGCTCTCGCGCTCAAACTTGCGGTGGCCACCGTTGACGACGCCCAGAATGCTCTCGCGCAGCGTCTCCTGCACCTTGCGCACCAGGGCCCGGATCTTGTTGACCAGCTTCACCTTGATGTCGTCTCCGAACCCGCGGTCCGCGTGTCCGCCAGCGTCGCGGTCGAGCTGGGAGTCAAACGGGTTTCCTCCAAGAATCTTCTCCAGAGGCCGCTGGAAGGCGTCTGGCAGGAGCTCAAAGAGCTGCTTCTCGATGGCACCAAGGATCTTGCGGAACTCCAGGCGAACTTCCCTGTGGACCTTTGCCAGACCGGTGCTAAGCTTGTCACTGATGACCTTGGAGAAGCCGCCCCTCTCGCCTTCGCCTTCAGGACCATCACGGTCACCAATGCCCCGGCTACCCTCCTGTGAACTCTTCTTGTTTCCAAATAGGCCTCCAAGCCCCTTGACCAAATCCTTGACCTGGTCCTCAATCTCGCCCTTGACACCGTCGCCGAGGTCTCGCGTGCTCGTGTTGCCGCGCAGCCACCGCTTGATGTGCTCCAGAGCAATCTTGGTAAACTGTTCCGCAATAGGCGCGTGCTGCTCCCTCAGCTTCATTCCGACCTTCTCCTTGATCTCGGGGCTGATGACGCGGGCCTTCTCCTCGGGGTTCCGCGCGGCGTCCTTGACGGTGTTGCTGAGGACTCCGAGGAGGCCGTCGAGTTCGAAGCCCTGCCCACCGCCACCCGAGCCCTTGTTCTTCTCCAGGTGGTCTTGGACAACGTTGATGGCGGAGGAGAGGAAGCCCTTTGCCCCGCCGAATGAGTCGCTGTGGCTGATGCCGCGGGATTGGGTCTCTGAGCCGCCGCCTCCTCCTCCACGGGCCTCGTCGGTGAGGTTGAAGATGTCGCGGAGGTCATCACCTGCCTCGTCTGTAATGACGCTGAAGCTGCGGGTGAGCTTGCCAATTTCGTCTGCGAAGGGCAGGGATTGAATGCCATAGGCGTCGGGTGGTGTGTCGTTCAGTCCTCTCGAGCCATCACCTGAGTTCTTGTCCTTGTTGAAGAGTGACCGAAAGGCGTCAACAACCTGGTCTTCAAGACTGTCGATGGTTCTCGTCTGGAAGGTGTCGATCTCAGACGCGATGCGAGGCTGGATCTGTGGAGCGAGAGAGTCAACATACTCGTCGACCTTTGTCATCAAGACATCAGGGAGGCCACGAGAGTTGGACATTGTTGCGGTGGTAAGGGTTGGGGGATTTGAAGGTGAATGACTAGCTTGAGGAGGAGAGACAGGCACAATAAAGGTGACCGTTGAGCTCTCGAATGGTGCTAGCTTGGTGGATGGTCGGCGGCCGATCCCGCTGGCGGTGCTGGCGGTGGTGAGGCAGCCGGAGGGAGCTGCCCAAGCTGAGCTCGAGCTGAGCTGTCACGTGTGACGCCATCGCCATGGCGGGGTCGCGACGGCTGACGTCAGGTTCGGCACGGACCATCCGGCAGGGGTTGAAGGTACGTACCTTTCACTCATTGAGCTCTCACTCACTCACTCACTTACTGCGTATGAGTCCCCTTCTCATCTCACTCATACCAATGAGGCCCAGGCGAATACTGAGTTCCAAGATTCCAGTCCTGATTCAAATCCTTACACATGAATTCATCTCATGGTAAAATCAACGCACTTTCCACCGCCTACAGGTGAGCACAAGAGGGCTGCCTAGGATGCAAGCGCGAGTCAGGCGATGTAGAGAGCATTGACGATAATGCCAGTTTAGCTCGGGTCTGATTAAGGCATGTTATTGGCATTCACCTAGGTACAATTGAGAGCCCTTCACTTCAAGGCAGCAAGAATCAGCTTCTTGTAGTCCTCCACAGCAAGCTCGAGATCCTGAACAGTGATGCGCTCATCAGCCGAGTGAGCAACTAGAATGGTCCCAGGTCCGTACAAGTAACGCTTGTGGGTTCCGTTCAGGCGCGGCACATCCGTGTAATAGTTCACCACGGTGGTGTTGAAGCCTGCTTGTGTCAGTCGAGGCCGTTCCCGTCAAACAATCAGACAAACAACATACCTTCAACATCATAATCCAAACTCACTGGCAAACCAAACCCAGTAAACGTCAAGTTGACATACTCGGGCGTCACCTCCGACACAGCCTTTTGCAAAACATCCTGAATCCCCTGCAAATCCTCCGTCGCAGCTCGAATTGACGCCCTCCCGGACGCGCTCTCCGGAATCACATTCGTCGCGACCCCGCCCTCAATCAAGCCCACATTCAACGTGGTATTCCCAAACTCCTCCGTCCACGGCAACTTCGTATCCTGAATCTTGTCTAAAGCGCGCACGAGTAGGTCAATTGCGCTCCGGCCGTACTCGGGATACCCAGAATGGCCCGCGACGCCGTCGGCTGTGATATTGAATCCCAGCACACCCTTATGCGCCCGGACGAGGGTATTCTCCGTCGGCTCGCCAAAGATGACAGATTCCCAAGTCAAGCCCAGCTCATTCGCGGCACCCATTCCATCGCCTCCAGATTCCTCGCCGACGACGTATAGCAGCGCGACATCGCCCTCAACAATCTCCCCGCTTGCGAGGAGCTCCTCCACAGCAATAATCTGCGCTGCAACACTTCCTTTCGCATCAGAAGTTCCACGACCGCGAATCTCATCGCCGGAGCGGGAGTACGGGATATATGGCGGTACGGTGTCAAAGTGCGATGTGACGAGGACGCGGGCTTCGCGAGCGGTGCCGGGGTAGGCGAAGACGTTTTGGCGGGTTCCTTCGACTGTCTGAAGCTCGACTGTGAAGTTTGTCTCGAGGTAGTCTTTGAGAACCTGCGTTCCGAGGGCTTCGGATTTGGTTGTCGAGTCGGCTTCGACGAGGGTCTTGTGCAGGCTAAGGAGAGATTCGGTGTAGGATGCGGCCCAGGCCGATGAGGCGAGGGCGCAGATGAGAGCTGCTGATGAGAAGGGCTTCATTACGGTGACCTCTCACATCAAGTTCCTTTGTAGATGTTGAGGATTGATGCCTCGAAGGTTGGTGTCACGAGTTATGTTTGGAAACGGCCCAAGGCAGTAGATATGAGCGTTGGAATGCTTTTATCATTCATGGCCGGTATGGCGCCAGAGATAGTTGTGGGGTACGCACAATCCCGGTTCCGAAGGTCACGTCGGAGATGCACCACGATAAGAAAGTCTGCGTTACTTTGAGAGGGGTTCGTGCTGCGCCAAGGTGATAGACAGGCAATTGCAATGCGGGAGATCTTGGAACGGGCAGTTACTGCATCGCAGACGTTGACATTGAGGAGGGGAATTCATATGATATTCTCCGATCCATCCACATCTGTGATAGTTTCGGAGCTTTTCGTTCAGTGATTGCCGTGTTCGGTCGGGATCCCACGAAGCGGGGTGATGGAGACCGGCCGTGTGGCCCGCGGATGTATGGAGTCGGGAGCAAAGCCGAAGGTTGGGGAGGTCAAGGATTCGATGTTAGATTGGCTGTCTCAATTGAGCAATTATCTCATTCATATTCATCAACTCTGTCAATAAAGGGATCCTAATGAAGGGTTGCCAATTATTCCCTTCAATTGCTGGTGACAATGCCTCATAAAGGATTGACTACAAGAAATCTCGTTGGCCACGGGAGACTTGGTCTTGGTCATAGCGCATTTCAAAGAGACCCAAGAACAGTTGAAGATCCCCTCATTCTCTGCCGTAGCTCAAGTTCAGCTCGAGCACCGTTCCATGGAATAATGCATGGGCAGACTATGATTTAATAGCTCAATTGAACTTTGACAAAATTTATTTCTTATTGGGGAATTCCCATGCTATATCCAGCTGCCCAGCCATATTTCTAAGCAGAAACAGCCCCTTGGTGACTAATGCCGAAAGTCTGTGCGCGGCCGGTACTGAGGATAGCTCTTTTTTGCACAGCTTAAAGGCTTTAATGACCAAGATCCTTCGTCCGCGGAAATAACTTCGTGGGGCAGATGCGATTCATTCGGGGATTTTGCAGAGTATCATTGTTTCTAAGCGCATCATCAAACCCACCCACGGGTACCTTGACTTGACCAACCTTTGTTCTCGTCCATGGCGTCTACCCACTTGAGCACGCGATTTCTCAGCAACAGCTTGAATGCCAGGTTACTAATCCCACGTGTTGTTTCAACGTCTCCTCTTGACTTAAATTCGTCTTTATTCCGTCATCCATCTCGAGGATACCACTCTGATCAGCATCTTCAACAACGTCTTCTATTGTCTTTCATCGCCGCTACAACTCCCCCAAATACCCAATTGAGACCAATATCCTACACAGCAACAATGGCAGGCACCATCCGAGCTCTCGTCTCTCAAGGCGACAAGACCGCCAAAGTCCAAGAGGTACATGATGTCATTCAGATGCCCCTCAACTTGTCCTCCTGCTTGTCACTAACCATAATACAAGGTCCCTAAGCCTCAACCCGGCCCAGGCGAAATCCTGGTCAAAATCTCCGCCGTAGCCCAGAACCCAACAGACTGGAAAGCCACAGCCGGCGCTCCCGCAGGCCGCACCGTCGGCTGCGACTTTGCCGGCACCGTCGCAGACCCCAACGGCTCCTCCCTGAAAGAAGGCCAGCGCGTCGCGGGCTTTGTCATGGGAACCAGCGACGACCCGCCCCGCGGCGTCTTTGCGCAGTACGCCGTCATCGAGAGCAGCCTCGTCTTCCCCGTCCCCGAGTCCGTGACGGATTCTCAGGCCGCGGTTATCCCCTTGGCCTTTGCTACTGCTGTTCAGGCGCTGTTCCAGCGATCGGGACTTCCTGAGCCCACGAGCCCGAGCAAGGAAGCGATTCCGGTCTTGATTAACGGCGGAACGGGCAGTGTTGGGTTGTATGCCATTCAGCTGGCGAAGAAGGTTGGGCTGTATGTCATCGCAACTGGAGGCAAGAAGAACCACGAGCTTCTGAAGAGTCTCGGTGCGGATATGGTGATTGATTACCGCGACGCCGACTGGATTGAGCAGGTCAAGAAGGCTGCGAAGAATAACCTTAAGCACGTCTTTGACGCCATCAGCGAAGTCGAGACCACAAAGGCTGTTGCGACGGCGCTCTCACCCGAGGGTGGCCACGTCGTCTGCATTTTGCCGCGCAAGGCGAAGGAGGTTGGCGCTCCTGAGGGAGTCAAGGTCGAGAGCACGTTGGTGTACTCGGTCTTTGGAAGGGCTCTTACGTATGGGGCCTTCGACAACATTGATGGCGAGAAGCCCGAGGATAAGAAGTTCTGGGAGAAATACCTAGGACTCCTGCCCAAGTGGTTGGAGGATGGTTCCATCAAGCCCAACCCGCAAAAGGAGTTTGGTGGTCTGGATGATATCAACAAGGGCTTTGAGTTGCAGGCCAAGGGTGGTGTGAGTGCTGAGAAGCTGGTCTACAAAATTGTTTAGACCACTCGAAAATTGAGAAAACAAAGAGCGATCGAAGTTACTGACTTTTGACTTTGGCTGTGGATATCGCACGTGATGACATGATGGAATCAAGATAATGTGAATACTCCTTCACCGCCGCGTTTTCCTCTTTTGTTTATTTTGATCTGCCTCAAGGTCGCTCTTGCCTTTGGAACGGTCCTCTCTTGCTCTTTCCTGGAGAATTGGGGCTTTCCTTTCTCACCACCTGGTCCCTTTGAACTTCCACCTTTCTCATCAATACTCCCAATCTCATCGTCCCACCCTCATCATCTTCCCAACCTCATCATCTTACCTCCAAGCTTTCATTCACCCTTCCTCTCGTCTGGCTTCTCGACCTCGACTTTCGACTCAATTAACCAGTCAATCCATTGTCCTGCCTGCCTTTTCTTCCTGTAACAAGGCCTCGATCACCTCACCTTATCCCCCATATCAGATCGCTTCCATTAGTCATTGTCTCCGGAATTCTATCTCTCAATCACTATAAAAGCTTTCAGCGATCTGACCAACCCATGTAAGGGAGCATTGCTGTCCCTCTCTCATCCAAGCCTCTTTCAACTGCTGACGACCTCATCCCTTAGCATGTCATCCTCTCACGGCCAGTCCCTGTGGGAGCCGGTGGTCACCTTCACCGTCCTTCTGCCCCCCATTGAGCAATACTCGATGGCAGGTAAGGGCAGTGAAGGAGGCAACTGGGCTCTTCACGATCCCAATACCTATGCCTCTTCCAAGAACGAGCCAGAGCGACAGGAGGCCGAGCAGTGCCTGGCTTGCGGCAACCCTTCCACCCGGAAGTACCGCTGCCACTGCAAGGCGGCCAGGTACTGCTCATCCCAGTGCCTCGAGGCTGACGACCTCCATCAGCGGCTCTGTGTGGGCCGTCAAGATGCCAAGACCAAGGCTGCCTTTAGTCTTCCGTCGGAGAGTCGGCCATCCGAGAACCACTACCTAGCGGCGTTGCTTCCCGTGGACGAAAGCGATCCGAAGCTGATCTGGATCTCTCTCCAGATGGACCGCAAGACTGGCAAGATGAGTTTTGCTACCGATGAGATCACCATTGCGAAGGCGGCTGCCAAGTCCGACGATAGCCCCGACCCCGACATCATCCACGTCGGTCTGAACTCGGTCGCGAGTCCTCTCCAGAAGAGCCTAGCCCACGGGGTTGATGCCATCAAGTTCGGTTCGTACAAGGATACTTCACCCGGAAATCTCAATCGCTGCCTTCAGAGCTTTGGCAGGCCTGGCTTCCTGGCCTGTTATTTCGGCGCTGTGGTTGTCTGGGCGTACGACCTCGAGACCAACGGAGCGTTCAAGTCACCTCGCGACTTGGGCGTGCGCGACCTTCGCCACGCTCTGGATTGTCACGTTCTCAATTCGGTCAACCCGGCCGTCTCTCAGCCCGGTCGATTCATCCTCGAGGGCGGTGTAATCCCGGCTCTCAAGATCAACGATCTCTCGGATCGTTGGTTGGAGGCTCTGGGCGTCACTCGCCAGATCGAGAAGGTCCATGTCCCGGCGTCTCATCAATACTTCGAAGCCTTCCCCATCGGCAAGCTTTTCCACCTCGGTCTTCGTTGGTATGTCCGAACTGGGGTCCCCATCGCGATTGCTCCAACGGGAGAGCTCCATGAGGAACATGAGGAGATCCTCCAGCACTTTCGTCAAACCGTCCTTCTGGTTGCTTAGGAGGCACCTCAGGACACCGGTATGCGCAAGGCTCAGCTCCAGGTGGCTGATCTCAAACATTCTTCGAGCTTTCACCTGATGCAGGTTTGCGGAAAGCAGATCGAGCCCGTCCACCTCACTGCCATCATCGAATACTTCAAGCTCGCCAGCGCCTCGGGAACCCCCACAACCGAGAAGGCGTTCCGCGCGTATTGGGACTACTTCAAGAAGAGCGAACTGATGAAAGGTCACCCGATGGCTGGGATCCCTTCGCCTTATGACCTTGAGACTGGCCATAGTCGTGATCCCAACTCGGCGGGTCTTGTAACCTTGCTCCAAGGTTACAAGTCCTACGAGGACTTTGTTGGGCAGGCCCCAGTCGCCAATGAACACGTTGAGGGTGGCCTCAACGCCCCGAAGGGCGAGGCACAAAGCATCGAGCAGACACTTGGCTTCCCGACCGAGAGAACTTAGAACCTGGTTGATCGCACTCTCTGTTGTGAGTTTGCTCACATCTTTCATCTTATTCAGAGACTGACAGTTGAGCACAGCGTGCAATCAGATTGCTTTGAGAACATCATACACATGGGATGAGAGCGAGAAACGATTTGGAGAATTCGAATATTCTGGGGCATTTGGGTGATATCCAGAGTCGTTGAGACAACTGAGATAGACAGATACCATCAGAAGACCGGAATTGAGTTTCTCATTATGCTGCGCACCTATACCTCATCCGTGATTCCAGATTCCGCAAGACCTTAAAGCGATAACTTTTGGCCTCGAAGATTGAACATAGTCAAACGCCCCTAGCCTTGGTGCTAACTTCAACGGGTAGCTTCGTACGCCCTTTTCAACTTGAGAAATCGTGGGTGGTCCCTCGGCCTCACCCCCGTAACCTCCCCAACTAATCCTTTCCGAAAGATCTTAAGACCATCTTTTCTCGTCGTAAGGCCAGACTGCCCATCCGGCACAGGTAAAGCCATAAATTCAGCATATCTATCATCATTCAGAACCCACTCAAGCCCCCTCTCCCGCAAACACCGCAGCTCGTCTTCAATAATCCCACCTCGACCAATCTGAAACGCCTCATCGCGAGTGAGGGCTTTCGCCTCGCGAGCTTCTACGAGTCTTATCGTAGTCGTGCCATCGGGCTGTCGAGGATCAAGGATATCCGCGTCGTCGAGCCAGTGGAAGAGCAAACTGCCTGACCCGGAGTGAGCGCCCCAGGGGTTGATCTCAATGAGCTTCAAATCAAACTCGGGATTGAGCACCTCTGCGTAGACATCTAGGATGCAGCTCTTGAAGTGCAGATGTGGTGCGATACGCACCCAGAGGTGCTGTGCCTGTGTTGCCAGCCTTCTCAGCATCTCGTCTGTGATACCGGCGTGATTTGGCTGATAGAGCCTGCTCTGGCTGATAGCGACGATGTGGCTTTCCTTGACGTAGCATCGCCACTCGCTCAAGCGGTCGAGGTGGGTGTAGTATGGGAAGAAGTAGAGCTGGTTATCCGGGGATTTCGTATCCTGACGGAACTGATAGAACAGGCTCAAAAGTGCCTGGACGGTCCTTTTCGCGGAAACAAGCTTCACGAGTGCCTCGCGCATGTTGTTCACAGGTTGGAGATTTCCTCCATTGGCGTCTTTATCGCTGCATCTTCTTTGTTGCTTATATATGTGCACGTTCATCGCATCAAAGGGTGTTGATGAGTCACGCCGTGCGAGGGTGTTGAGGCCGGAAGGAATTGAAGATCCTGGAGCTAGCAATATTACCACATCATCCGACGCCTTGAGGACGGTATAATGAAGCAGGGTGAGCGGGGTAAGCAGGAAAAGTGAAAGCAATCACGGCTTTCACCTATCAGTAAATCAAATGCTTTTCTGGGCAATTTCTCCTAACAAGCAATGTAGCGTTAATTACTCTGTAAAGTACATTCGTACTGGCTCTCGTGCGTCTCTTAACCATATGATACTCGATCCATCCACACCGGGAATGACTTCTCTATAACTTGAGGGTCTGAAATCTGGGGGGATCCACAACAAACGTTTCCCGTCACGCACGATCCATTCTCGATCGTAGCTGAGACCATAGCCGCGGAAGGAGGGCATTGCTTCCGGCCTCTCTGAATCCGGCGTGTGTTCGAAGCTTTCTCTTAGTATTTCAGAGTCTGCGCAGATAGGATCTGAGCTACTCGAGCCCAGAGACTTAATTATGTCGATGAAGCCGTACTCGGTGTGCAAACGAGTTTCAAATGTCGTGTCAAACCTTACGTGGATGAGACTGATTTCGTCGCTTTCGAACATGCGTATAGAAGAATCAGATCTCAATTCCCATAAAATAATTCCTACTGAGAACGAAAGATCTCCTGTCTGTATACATACAGAAGACGCAAGCTGTTGCACATCTGCCGAGAAGCTGAGAGATGTGATTCTGTAGATTGAAGTTGGCACCGAGAGAAGCGTTGAGATGCATTGGTTTGTGACGACGTCCCAAACTTGGATGATGGCATTGTAGCCTCCCCGCAGGCGTTCACGGTCATCATAAGCTAGGAAAGCAAGTCGTTGGCCTTGACTCGAAAAGGCCATATTTGTAGCATAGCTGCGGCCAGAGTCAATGGTCTGCGAGCACCTGCCGTTTGATGTGTTCCATATCTTTATCAAACCCCCCAAGCTTGAAGCAAGCTGTAAAACACTCCCGAAGGCCAAAGACTCAATCACACGTTTCCTCTTGAGCCCGTTTCTTCTTCTGAACACCTCGTCCAAGTAGACGGCATCAGCTACTTCATTGTTCCAATGTCTTTGTTGGCAAACGCTCTCTTCAGAACCATGCTCATCAAAGCAAATATGCTCCGTGCAACCACAGACTTGCATTGTGATAGCATGGGTACTTGTGTTCCAAATTGTGATGGTGGTCTGATACAAAGAAGCTAACGCAAGTTGCTGGCCGTCTTGAGATAGTGCGATAGCAGACACGGACTTCTCATAGAACGTTGACTCTGGCATATCGGCTCGTCTGTCCCAAAGTCTGATTTTATCCATGCGGAGGTCATGTGCAAGGAATCGATCGTTGTCAGCAAAGATCAGTTGTTCCATGCCTGGAATTGGCCAGTGGGGTATGGAGTCTGCCGTTATTGATAAGTCCCAGACATCGATCGTTGATGGATAGGACGCCGATACGATTCGCTGAGCGTCTGGGGAAAAAGATATTGAGTTGATGTTGCGTGTGTTGGAACCGTACATCGCCCACGTCAAAGCACCAGTCGACGTGTTCCACACGCATATGTCGTATCGAGAGCCAGCTGCTAGAAACCTTTTGTCGGCCGAAAAGTCCATGTAGTTGGGATAGTCTCCGTACCCTGGTTTACTTGGTATCTCATACTTGAATCTCCGAATTATCTTGCCAGTTTGTCTTTCCCAGATCCGTACGATGGAGCATATCCCTCTCAGACCACCTGACGCAACCCAGGCTCCATCCGGCGACCAAGCTACAGTAAATATCCTATCATCCGTTGATATCTGTTGTCCATCCCCTGTCGATACATCGAAAATCTCGATTAGATGATTTATTGAACCTAAAGCGATCCAACGACCATCTGCGCTCAACGCTATGGAGTGAGCTTCACCACGTCCAGGATGACGCTCGACGGTGCGTGCAGGAAATTCTCCCTTCGTACTCTGAATGATGATATAGTTCCAAAAAGCAGATGCAACCGTGTACCCATCCGACGAGATGGCAGTTGCGGTGGCCCTACGTGAATGTGGTTCAAGCTGGTGGGTGCAACGGCCTGTGTCCCTATCCCAGACCTTTACGAAACCATTCCAGGAGCTTGATACAACTGATTTGCCGTCTGCTGAAAAAGCCACCAACTTTGATCCCTTGCTACCGCTGTGTTGTTCATCCTCCTCGCCGTGGATACCGATATGGACTGTGTGAGTGCAGGTGCCGCTCTTCGCATGCCAAAGCTTCACAGTCCCGTCGACATATCGAGTGACAAGCCACTCCCCGTCGGAGGAGTAGGCCACGCAGCAAGCGCCATATTCACGCTCCACATTATAGTCTAACGTCTGCAAACACGCACTCCATCTGGTTTCCAGGCCAGGCGTAATTGTAACCCAGTCAGGCGCCTCGTCCCGAAACTGTACTTTCACAACGCTTTGGTCAGGGCTAAATAATAGAGCCGAAGCATAGAGTTGTAATGGGGCGTTTTCAATCATCACTTTGTGATAGAGTAGAAATCGATTCGCGTCATGAATAAAAGCTGATAGGCCTTGTTCGATTGAGTTCGGGCTTTGGCTCTGGCTCACTGTTCGTCAGTAGACATCGTAGACTAACACAACGCATTCAAATACGACTTACGAACAGACCCTGAAGCTTTTGGATGGCTTGTATTGCCTGTTGCATCTGGCGGAGGAGGCTTAGTGCCTCTATCCAATTGAGAAACTTTCCCCTGAGGAAGGTGTCGACCTCGGAAATGACACTGTTCTCTTGTGGCGTTGGCTTTCCCATTGCTACCCGTTGTTCACAGACCCAATCAGTCAAGTGGTCAACCCAATAGGTGCAGAAGTACTGCAAAGCACACAAAGGATCGGGCTCTGGCGTATGAATTTCCGCTATGCCTGTACCGGGCTCTTTTAAACCGTAAATGTCTCGTTTCAAATGTCCAGGTCTGTTGAGGACGTCCATAGACCTCTGAAAAACGGACTTGTGTCGCTCTACAACAGTGGGAAGGTTTGAAGCACTGCTTTTCAAAAATTCCACAGCCGACTGATGCACAAAGTAGATCCTTTCTGCTTGGATCTTCAAGAAAGACCCACATGATTCAATCGCTTCCTCCAAAGATTCCGTATCATTACTGAAGTGTGACTGAAGGAGAGGAAGAAGTTCCTCAATCGTAACTGGTCGTTTGAGGATTGACATGACAGACAGTATCTCTTTATACAGGTCTTCGTCTAGAGAGGGCAGTGAACTGATCATGCGCTCGTAAAATGCATCGAGTCCAGGCGGAAATGTTTCAAGCACCTTCATAACGTTACGCTTTTTGACGCTACCATCAAGAAGAGCTTGACAAACCAAAGAGACCCAAAGGAACGTATCCTGCGATTGCTTTCTCAAGTACAATCGAATCTCTGAGCAGGTAATTTCGTTGAACCTTTTGCGGCTAGCCAGCTGTTGAACTTCTCGGTTAATATACGAGTGGACCGCTTTGGAGATGAGATCGTCGTGTAATTCGAGGGTGATAGTAGACCCGTTTGTATCGTCCTCGCCGAGCATCTCGCCAATTTCGGTCCACTTTCGACTCGAGATAATGACTTTAGCGCGAGAAATTGTCGAGAGATTCTTGATGAACTGAAGCAGCTTGGGACGATCTGTCGTGCATTCGTCGAGCGCATCCACGATCAACAAAACGCCATCCAATTGTGGGTCGCTGAGCATAGAATTGAGCAGCTCATACATAGTGCCCCAGGCGTTGTGATCATTGAAACGAGCTTTGCCACCCTTCTCATACACAGCCAAGACCTGGTTTCGGAGCCAGGGATACTTCTGAGCCAGTTGAAGAACTAGGGACCGAAGGACGGACGTTGCGTTATCCAACGCTGGCACTGTAGCTTGGCAGAAAAAGTAGCACAGCGGACGCGGATCGCTTTGTTCCAGCTCTTCAATTATCCCACAAAGAAGCATCGTTTTCCCCTTGCCTGGGTCCCCTCTGATCCAGAGCCGGCGGCTTTCAGGGTGGGTCCGCCAGCGTCGGAATTCCTCAACATCTAGGATCCATTCGTATGATGATTTGAAAAGGGTAGGAGTATTGTCCTTTCTGCGGATTATCCGTTCTCTATCATTTTTTGGGTTCGTCTGGAAGAGTTCGCGAAGACATTCTTCACTCTTGTCATCTTCATGGCGCCTCTCTTGTTGTTGTGTTTGGTGTGATATGGTCTCTTTCGTTTCAACAAGGAGGGCATACATTCGAGGGTCTGGAATATAATTTGTTAACAAGACCGTGTTGTTTCCAGAGAAATTGTTGTGTGCATTAATTCATGTTGATCCTTTTGATCACAAAGTTTTCTGACGTATATCAAGAAATAGGGCTACTTGCCAAAAGCTATGACCTTCTCCTTCTTGACATTGCTGGGAAGCACTCTTGATAGAAGATCCTTCGCATATGCGGCCGCAGTTGCAGCGGCGTAATCCTGCCATCTTTTGTTCTTATGACTGTCCGAATAGTCGCAGATGCCACGAATCACCAGGCAGGGAAAGTCTTGCATCAGTCCAGCCGCCTCCATCTCAAAGCAAATCACCCCAAGCTCCTTGCTCAGTCGATCCCTGGTTTCACTATCCTTCACGACCTGATTCCCCGAGGCGATATTACCATAATGAACCACTGGATCAGCATCGTCTCTATCGATCCGCTCCACAGTTTGCGAGTTATCGCAATCATTGCAGTTAGAGCCAGCATTGACATGCTCGTACTCTGTTCGGAATAAGCGGTCGTTGGATTCGCCCTGATAAGCATACTTCTGTCGCAATGATGCTTTTTCGATCTTTTCTACCGCTTCGGAAAGGAACCCGGGGGTTTTGCTGGCACCGCGTAAGTGACGAGCTTGGAGACGGCTTAGAGCTGTCAGCAGTGCCTTGGGCGGCGCATTGAGCGATCCTGTTCGTTCAAACTCCTCAAGCTTTCTCTTTTTCCCTCGGTCATGCTGAATTACACCTCCACTGGTGTTACTTGGCGTGCTAACGACGATATCACCAAGTCGAATGTCATGGTCCGACGATGGTGCCCCGCCTCCAATCCCGACTAGCAGGCCGAATCGAATAGATTTGAATGTCCGGAGCATATCTTTAGCAACTGTGGCGGCTGGATTTGTTCCGTAAACACCATTCGGCAGACAGGCGATGACTACTCTATGGCCTTGCATTAGACCTAGAGTGTAGCTGTTGTGGTCACCATCATCCTGCTCGAATTGAACGTCGTCGTAAATTTCGTCGAGCATGAGTTCTGCGGCGGCCATCTCCAGGGGGAGAGCACAAATCCATCCGACGGTGTACGATTCTTTGTCCTCAGCTTCACTCATCCCATCTCCGCCCGCGGATGCCGCGCTGGACTTCATGACGTTCATCTGCATGAAATATGTGTCGCAGAGACCTCTCTTGTATGAACCCGAGATGATGATGCTCGTGAAGGACGTATTCTGTAGAAAAGCATGCACATTGTCTCATGCCACTAGCAAAGCCCGAGGAGATCGAGTATACTCAGGGAAGAGATGTGCCAAAATTCTGGAAAAACGCGGGGTTCTGCTGACAGCCTCGCAACAGCGACGAGATGGGGATCCTCCCTGCGGCTCTAGCCGTTCACGTATACCACTGGTGACTGCATGAGCATGCAGCGCCCGCCAGCCCGCCTTCTCTTCCAATGAGATGATTCACAATCTGTCAGGCGTTTTCAGCTCCTTCTCCATGATAATGGAGCTTTGGGGTCAATATTGCGATGCTGCATCGTGTCTGCTCCTACTCCTCTGACCTTGATTTAGCCGCCGTGATCATCACACAGCCTGCTTATTCCTCATACGCGGAACGACATGAGTGGCGGGATCGACTCCCAGCGTGACCCACTTCTTGTGCATGCCAAGCCAAACCTGTCCTACTTACCGCCGGACAGACTTGTTGGTCACCCGTCCACGCCTTGGAATCCATGATCAGCCTTGGTTATTCCAGCTTTGGTAGTGGCGGCCAGGGTCCCTAAGATGATGGGCCAACATCGAGCATGTTGGCAAGGAAGATGGTATCTTCCGGAAAAGCAAGTCGCAAGTCCCGAAAACGTTGATCGGCTCAGAGGTGCGAATATGGGGGTCGAGTTGGAACAAACCGCCTAGGATACATATGCAATAATCATGAATATCTATCTAAGTGAGACTCCTGGGGTTTACAAATGTGGTGTATTGTTGGTTGCATTGTCAGCAGCCACAATAGCACACCCACTTCTGGCGGACCATAAAGCACTGAGAAACATTCACGATAAGCCACATCAGACAGCAAGACTTGAGCCACAGGTCAGGCCGACATCTAATGCCCAATTCCTGTTAATCGCATTTATGCACCTTTTATGAGACTGTCGAATCAACTCCTACGCCGCTCGCCTCTTCTGTGTCGGCCCAGGCTCTTGATCAAGCCACCTCAAATCCTTCGCCTAGGAGCAGGATGCTTCCATTCCAAACTCTGGGTCTCGTAATCTTACATGCCCGCTATATACTCCTCGGTACTACGGTCCTAACTCGTTATCCCACTTCGTATAGAACTATACCCTAAAAGTAACAATAAGGGTTATGCCGGCCGCGGCTAGGTTGAGTCCGTTACCGTTGTGTTAGTTGAGTGAGACCTATGGCAAATACTTGCAGGTGCAGATGATGCCACCAATGTTTCTGCATGTCGCTTTGAAATTGACGGAGCTGCTTCGAGCAGCGTTCTTGGGCCGAGGACTATAGCGAAAGTATGGGATAATCAGGACTTACACCACCGTCACCCAGCCTCGAGGACGATAACTCATATGGTAATTGAAAAAGTTCACCACATTTAAAAATTTCAACTTTATAATAATCTCTCTGACTGAGAATTCAAAGAGGCTATCCTTGAGTACTTCCTTACCCTCACGAAGCCAGGTCTCAAGATCCTGAAGGCGCTGGAACCCTGAATCTCCCACTCTTCACATCTTCCTGAGCCTTCAGACTCAAGTTGACAATCTCAATAATGATATGCTGCCTCTCCGCCTCGAGGTGCTCCTCCGAGATAGCGCTGCCATACCACACGGAGGCATAAATATCAAGATACCTCTTCCCAGCCACACTGACATCCCTCGCAGCAATATTCAACACCCCAAATCGAGTATTCTTGCCGTCTACGAGGTTCTTGTCACCGCAAGCCTTGAGTCGGAATTCAGGAAGCAGTCGCACCATCGATCTCTGCGCACAAGTTCGTGGGCTGTAGTTGGGAATACTAAAGTTGGTCACCACCCCGCCCCAGCTCTCCAGAATCTGCGATGTGCCAGTCGCTCCTCCCCCAGCGTAACTCGACTTTTTAAAGTAGTGCTCCGCATTGCCGCGATTATTAGCAGCATCGGCGAGGGGCAAGGCAGACCACGTCGAAAAAGCCCACGCGTTGACATTGGGAAGTGGTACAAGGGCACGACACTCGACCGCTTTCCACGTGGCTGGGTCATGCAGAGTGGAGTTGGAGTTGACGTCATACCAGAAGTTTTTGGCATCTTCAATATCTTTGGAGAAGAGCTCGAGAAAGCCCCGGTCGCCGATCGAAGCTTTTCGTTTGGCGAGGATGTCCATGCAGAGGGAGGCTGGGGTGGGAAGCGGAATCTGGCTGTTTGGGATGTGTGTGCGCTCATTGATGAGTTTGAGGACGTAATGGCATCGCTCGAGTTTGAAGTCGATTTTCTTCCCTAGAGTCTTTGGGCCTGAGAGGATATACGGGTGACCGTTGAATTCCTCGGTCCAGTTGCCGAATTTGGGCCAGGGTATGCTTTGTGCAGCGGCAAGTGTGGCTAGAATTGCGACGATTATGGACAACATTTTGAATTTGGGGGAACGATGTGCGAATCTGAACTCTAGTTGCTTCGTCCAAGACTGAAACTTCATGACTGGGAGCGATTGCCATTTTGAAGCAAGGTAGCCGGCAGCGCTTACATGCGTGACGCCGTAAATTGTCCAATCGCTCACGATGTTTGCCGCGGGCTTCACAGCGGTCTTTCATTGTCATTGAATAAAACAAAATTCAAAAGACCTGTTAGTTACACGATACAAGTCCCTACAGAACTGAGCTTGCCAATCCTTCGTTGAGTCTACCGAGCCAGGCAATGGAAGAGAAAGAAATCATGTTAGCTAGTGCCCCCACCCCGCACCTCTCGATCGAACTCCATAGAGCAAACAGGGCGCGGGGCCTTTCGGTAAGAGGGATGAGACAGGCACTAAGAGCTTCGAGAACAAAAGAAGGCTGTGCAGAAGCCTGAGCAGGGCCGACTACCAATGGGACAACACTGCTCAAGTTTCACCGCCGATCTGGTCGGTGCTACGAGGCGTTGTGACACAAGCGAGTCTCTGCAAGCCCTCATGGACCCCAAAATCTAGACCGTTGGCAGAATAAAGATGTCTTGCGCGCCAAGGCGTCTATGGTCGCGATGTTGACGTGCTATTGGCATGCATCAATGTGGAATGGTCCCTTGTCTATCGGCTCGAAGGAATGCAATCTATCCTTTGATATCCTTCCAGCTCACACGTGTCAGGGTGCTGGTCACATTTACCAAAAAGAATGGGGGTGGAGGGTGTCTTTCCAAGAGAAGGACTCTCGCTTACATCGCTAAGGGAGGGCTACGCTGGTCCAATGTCAGGGTCGAAAAGCCTCTTGCCCGGGGTAAACAAGACTCAGGAGTGGTGTTCATCGTTCTGATCCTGTACGTATGTGCACACAAACCTCGATCTCTGCAATACACTACTAATGACATGAATCCGTAATTGTCAAGTGATATCGAACGATTTTGATCAGCAGCCAAACACACATCAGATATGGCAACATGTCACGTCTTCGTTGCTGGTACATATCGAGGCAGTGCTCTGTTTACTGCAGCTTTGATGCTACGTCGAGGCTCGCGCAGCTTCTTGGCTTCACCCCGACCGGTAGCGTTTGGTTCCTCTCATACATTCGTCCTTTCCCATTCGGTCTTTCAAAGGGACAACTCATCGCTCATCAATGATTTGCAAGAATTCCCCCAAGTACCTTACAAAAATACGTTCCCCGACTTTGCCACCCCTTCACCCCGAATTAAAGCATCTACAGCCCATTCAATCCAGGCACAAAGTAGGTAGGTTAGATGTTCCAGATTTCATTCTCACCGGTTGGAGATCTACCGAAGTCGAGACTTCTGAGCTGTGAATGCTCTCGCTGTTTCATTCAACCATTATCACTTCTCATATCGCGCTAGTTGGTGTCGCTAGTTGGTTGGTGTCACTAGTTCCCGTGAGACCTGTTACCGTGGAGCATCATCTCCAATTCGTTTCGCTCGATTGTCACAGGGGCATCTCGCCATCGAAATCAGCTCATTCTGGAAGAAAAAGGTGATTCTGATCTCATGGTTATGAACGACCCCTGTCGTTTGACTCCAGAGATAAGTGTACCGTCTACCTGGATCCTACTTTAACCGTCTCACCGACTCCACGTCTTCGGATCCAGGTCCGGTGGCTGGCCTCGAAAGGCAGCGCCCCGAAGCCACCTTATACGAGGGAAGAAAAAAAAAGCAATGTGAAGCTATGAAAGTTGTCCAATCGTCGCCGACCAGAGTTTTCTTTCGGCCCTTTCTAGCCGTGTCTCCCAAGACTTGGGTGCAGAACGTGGCAGGGTTTTGGCCACGTTTTATGCCGGTCACACCAATCCTTACGCGGAGATATAGCTAGGTGCCATGAGTGATAAGGATCCTTGGGGAAGCTTCCCGCAGTTGGTGTTCTAGACCGCTCTGAGTCTCGTCACCATGATGTGACCTATCTACGCGCACCAAGGCGGTAGATTGTTCTTGCGACAATCGCGCAAGAAACGAGGTGACGGTACTTTGGACATCATGTACCCAACTGAGCGGGGATCTCGGGCCCGGAACATCAATTGGCATTATTCCCCGTCACAGACTAGGAATCTTGCCCGGTATGAAGATGATTATCGCTCCTCAGCCTCTGCCGATTTCGAGAATGCATGACCTCAATCATTACCGGGCAAAATTCAGTGGTTCACCGGACACCGCTGTAGATGACGAAAGGTTCAAGAGAGTAATAATATAAAGGTCAGGCACTCAGAGGCGTTGAGTATTCAGAATTCGTCATGTTCGCAGTACGGAGTCGACGACTCGTGCTGTTCTTCCACGATCGTGGTAGAATCAATGTCTGCACAACATCGAATTGCGTGAAAACACCATCGAGACCTTGCGACTGCAGAACTCGAGTCATTACCATCGTGGGATTAAAATACCTGCATTGCAGGAAGCATGTGTTTTGGCGTCTGCCACATTGAACTAGCGGTAAACCAGCCCCGCGAATCAACGTCCTGGAGACGGCACTAAGGCGCCGGTTGCGATCATCGTCCGGCCAGTAGGCTGGCTTACATATAAGTGGCGATCCCGCTAGACATGATCATCGGCCTCTTTGTTCGCCAAGCGCTGATGAAACACCGTTGATCGACCCCCGTCAACCTCACACAATCATCACTCCTTGTCGACATGGCCATTACTGTTGATATTGAAGCGACGATGGGAGCCCAGGCGTTTGGCACGGCCGTCTACTCCCTTGAGATACCAAGCATCTACTTTGGCATCACAATTGGTCTCACGATACTCATTGCAGTGAAAGCCTCACAGCAGACTGTTTCCATCTACATGAAAACAAACTCGTTCTTCAACCTTTATGTGTGGATGTAAGTATGACTTCGCTATTTCCAAGTCAAGTCTGTTGCATCGATCGCGAGTGATAACAGTTGAAAGGATATGGGTTCTACTTATTGCCAATCTGCTCCAAGCCATTATCAACTGGCTGTTCATTCGAGGTGATCTGTTGGGAACGTAAGACACCGACATCAATCCTCAAGTATCAGGATAAAGGAGCTGACCCTTGGATCTAGCTTTGGTTTCTTTTTTGGAAGTTGCATTCTGTGGACGTTGCAGACGCAGCTAGCCCTCCAAATCATTGCAAATCGCCTAGGCCTCGTCATAATGGACAAAAGCAGGGTGAAAATCATGAAAATCTGCTTGCTCGTCATAGTTGGCATCATCAATATCTCGGTTGCCTGCATATGGATCCCGGCGCGCTTGACACAAAAGGAACCATTTGTGCGCATCAATGAGATTTGGGATCGCATGGAAAAGATCATCTATCTAATCGTGGATCTTACTCTGAATGCAATTTTCCTCCGCAAAGTGCGACGGGAACTGATTGCCGGAGGTCTCACGAAATATTGGCTACTGTTCAACTGCAATGTCGCGGCCGTTTCAGTCTCTTTGTCTATGGATGTAAGTTCATCTCTTCGATTCTTGCATGTGGATCCATGCTGAAAGCTGCATCAGATTCTCATCATCGTTATGATGTCTCTTCCCAACCCTTTTCTTTACGCTATTACCCATCCAGTCGCATATAGTGTCAAACTTGTGATTGAGATGCTGATGGCGGATCTGATATCAACTATCGCCCGACAACCACACCAGCTTCTTAGCCGCTCGGATGTTTAACGGATAATTTGCAACGAGGATAGCGTGAAGGATTCAAGAAACATTATTACTACGGGAATCAGGACCATAAGTAGTGATTGAAGTGTTAGAGATTCTACCTAGAAAGCGAAATACTTATGAAATGCTTTAGTTTTATGGCATATCTTGTAGTTCCTCAACGTTACGGATTCGATGCGTGAATGTTGAAACTGTCTTATTGATCCCTGTGCAATATCGGTTGCCTCCGTATAGTATTTCAAGGGGAATAAGCCGGTACTCGGCAGGCCCCTGGGCGACGGCAACGACCACATTGACGACTACAAAAACGGAAACTAAGATGAATGCCAGGTTTTTACCACTAGTGCTGAATTCTCAGCCATCCCATGGACGCTTTTTGGGGTACCGGACGGAGCGAGATTGCCTTTCCCACTCAAATCCAGAGTCCAGCATATCGTAGAGAGGCCATACAAAATTACAGCTTACAAGCATCCAACTCGAGTCCTCATCCTCTTGATCATGTTTACCGCTACCCGTGTCATCGCCTCCATCATCTGAGGAGTGGCGAGCAAATGGCCGGCAATCAACGGCCTTGATGTAGACGCTGTTGATTGTGGGCTTCCCAGTCTGTGCTTCGAAAGATCTTAAACAGTCATCGTCGACAATCAGGCAGTAACCGAAGCGACTGTGGTCGCGTTTTTCGATAATCGGAATTTCTTGCTCCGGGTCGGCACTATGAGATAGACCTCCAACCCAAGATTGAAACCGCAGCATGACGTTCCAGATCGACATGCCGTCGAGTTCGGGGTCTTCGACTATTGACAGGCGATGGTAGGGCCGAATATAGGTAGCGTTTGCATCATATGAGATGTCTCCCAGCATGCATTCGCGTAAGTACGTGACGTAGCGCTCCCATAACGCCTGGTCGCGGTAGGTTGTCCGGTAAAGATAGAAACCCCAAACATAAAGTTGGTCGGGTCGATGTCGGATGTGATGGGTGACGCTGGGAAGATGTAGCACGACGGTAGTTGGAAGTGGTGGAATCTCCATTTTGCGTATTGAAGACCTGAGAATCGAAGAGAGAATGACTGTCTTGAGGCAGAGTGAAGAAATTGTGGAAGGCTGAGAAAGGTCTAACGCCAAGTAAGGTAGGAGCGCAGGATTCGATGACTCTATATAGTCATCAGGTCTTTCTCCGAAAGTCTTTCGGTGGAATTTGCGGCATGTCTACCTCAACGGTGTACCTCCTCGATTGAAGAAATGACCTCGTCGAGCAGACTTTTGGCAAGCTTTTATAGCATGTTCCAATTTGAGTTGCAACTTACTGGCGGGGTGTGGAGACCACGGTACGACTTTGGCCTCTCTACCTTGAGAGAGCCCGATGACACTTCCTGGACAGAAGAATACCTACTTATGCGGGAAGAACATTGCAGCAATGTGGAAATCTTTCCACATAGGAATGTTGACTGAAAATCTCAGCACTCAGAGGCACTTGTACAAAAAAAGGAAAATGAAAATTCATTCGCTAACATTAAGATCACTTGCAAGGGAGTGAGGTCTCCCACCTCCAATGGCGTAGCCAGTATTACACTTTCCTAGTGCTATGGTCCATCCCATCGAGGTTCGTCGCCAACCTTTCACAGTGCGTGGAATCGACCTCATGGTGGCGGAATCCAAGTGAAAAAGAAAGAGCTATGCGCCGTTGCCATGGTCAATGAACATGTACTACGAAATGTCGTTGGGGCCTTGTGAAAGGCAGTGCAGTATATCCTGCACTGCTGGTCATATGCCGGTTCAGAGCCCAGCAGTGTCACAGTATGGAGATTTGCGGTGTTTGGAGAACTTCCCAATTATCCGCGTGCGATGGGTCGCCAAACGGCTTCAACAGCGCAAAGCGAAGCCTGAAAACAGAAACTTAGCTCGGGAACGGAGAGTCATGAAGATGGAGTATTACGCACGTATAGTTGCCGACAGCGATCTGGCTTCCGTTGCCGAGTTTTCCGAACCACCAGTGCTGATCCTGTTCGTAAGCACCGTTGCGGTTGCGGTCCATTATCGGATACGTAAATGTCTCGTTCGGATCGTAGATGCTGGTATCAATGGCTTCCACCCTGCCGGACCCGACCCAGGAGGCGATAGTACCGATGTGGCCATTCTCTCCGGGTACTGGGGGATACTTCCACTGTCGCTCCGTCCATCCCGCCTCGAAAACCTAGTAAGCAAATTAGCCTGATGAACATAATTCTTCTGGCAGCTTGGCTGGTCGTGACGTACATCCCATCGAGTCTCCTTGACGCCGTAAATCGGTTTGCTGATGACTCTGGGGAAATCTTGAGCAGCCAGGCTAAGGTTGAAAGTAAAGCTAGATGGTGTTAACATCGTTGTCAATTTAGTTGTAAATGAGAGTCTCACTAAGGCTTGCTGGCGACTGGAGTATTCGAAGTTGTTGATATCATGAAAGCGTAATTGGTTTCCTCCAACGGCGTCACCTCCTTGCGAAGGTCGCCACCAAGACCTAATCAACCAGTCAGCAGAATGAACAATCAAAAGTCCTCAACAATACGAACCAAGATATGGGACAGAGAGAAACTCTCCATTGCTGCCAGAGATGAGAACACGACCGCTGTACAGGGGCAGTCCAGACGCATTCCAGCCAAGGGTGTCTGGGTTCTTGAAGTTCACTCTGGATGAAGTGTCAGCGCAAGTCGGTACAAAACGGTTTCAGCACTTACGAGACTGTCTTGCTTTCTCCCGATTGCAATGTGAAGTCCGCGGGGAAGCTGATTTCTGGCGCGCGTGTCTCGGGGATCATGTCAAAGAACTCCTTGACCCTCTTGGTTCCAGGGGCAGGGTTAGCGATAACCCGGTCAGCTGCGTACCACCCAAGGATGTCGGCTGAGACAATGTCCTCCGCAGAAAACTTGTAGGTCACTGCCTCTTCGTCATTATTGGTGACGGAAATCTCGTGGTAGCGATTGAAGTAGCGGGTGTCGTTCAGTGCAATTTTCTCATAGTCAATCACGGTCTTGTACTGGAGCACCTTGAAAGCATCGACCAAGCCGTTTCCGACTTGAGCGACACTAGCAGAGTGGCCATAGTCGGTCTCGGTCAGACCATCAGCCCAAGGAACACTAATGCCGCTGGAAATGATACGCTTGCCAAGATCTTTTGCCCAGGCATTGCCACTGGGGTGCGTGTTACGCCCGCCGTAGACGGAGACGTACAGCGCGGCCACACCGGCAATGTACGGTGCAGCCATGGAAGTGCCGCTCTGAATAGTATATGATTCGTCGATCCATGTACTGTAGATCTTGCCTCCCGGTGCAGCAATGTCCGGCTTGATCTGAAGATCGTACAATGGCCCGATGTTGGTGAAATAATTCGGATCACCGCCGAGGGAGTATGTCAGCGCGACCGGAAGTCCGTGGTTGACAGAGAAATCTGCGGTGACGTTGCGACCAGCCTTGATTGCTTCAACGATCTGTTTTCCTGCAAAACTGGTGATGAATCCAACGGTGCTGTTCGTATTCCCGATAACGGGGTAGCTGAGCGGGCGGTCGTCATTGTAAACTAAAACAAGCGTACCACCGACAAGAGCTAGATTCTCTTGCTGCGTGTGGATGTCGCAGGACACGGCAGCACCACGTCTGACAAGCACAATCTTGCCTGTAAAGTCCATAGAGCCAGGCTCAAGCGGTTCGCAGGCATCAGTTGTGGCATTGGTGTCGAGAGAGAATGGGACGATGGGGACGTCCACGACTGTCGCGGGGAAGGGATCGTAGCTAATGGGAGGTATGAATCCATATCTCGCCGTCTCTTCGCTGCCGCCATTGACTCCGGAGAAGGTGGCGTCGAACGGGAAAGCAGGGAATGTCTGAGAGTCAACTGAGGCTACAGCAAGCACATTCTTGCCAGTCGCGCCGGTGCTGCTCAGGAAAGGTCCAACTGTGCCAACGTTGCCGGACGCGACAACGGTGACGATGCCTTCGTCTACGAATCGAGATGCAATGACCGACCAGGCCTCTGTGGCCCACCCGATGTTGGAGCCGACGCTGGCTGTTATGATATCCACCTGGCCCAAAGGTTAGCGATACTGCAACAGGTACTGTAGTTCTGAAAGGGTCAGCGCTTACTCCGTCGTCATAGGCGCGGAAAAACGCTTCAAGAATCGTCGCAGTGTCTGTGAAACCCTAGGAGTGGTTTCCAAGCATTAGCCTTGTGGGCTACATCTTCATCAAGTCCTCACAGCGCTAATGCAACTCACGTATTGCGAAAAGATCTTGTAGGCGTAAAGCGTTGCCTCGGGCGCAACTCCGGACCATCTTTTGGCAAGCTGGTCAGATAGTGACAGCAATCGAGATGGATATACCTGACTTACCCAGCACCTTTAGCTGCGACGATTCCTGCAACATGGGAGCCGTGCCCCTGTTGATCGAGGGGGTCCTCATCAGGTTGTTTTTCGCCCTCATACGGCCATACTTGATAGCCACGCGGTTAGCGACGAAAAGACAAACGGAAACCACCGTGCGACTTACGTCCATCACCAGCGAAATCATAGCCTCCGTCTACTTTGAATCCAGGGCCAAAGCCATTGCCGAGCTAAAAGGATAAGGAGTCATAAGCGTCGGGTGCGGATAGGGTGCTCTCCTTCAGTAAGACTTACGTCGGGGTGTTTATACCAAATGCCAGTATCAACAACGCCAACCTTGGCCCCCTTTCCAAAGATACCCTGTGCATGTAACTTGGAGACGCCAGTAGTATTGTGCGTCGTGTACGCTACATCCTCGCCTTGGACCAAACGCTTGCTCTCCACGGGGTCGAGCTTGACTGCCACGTTTGGCCAAACATTCACGACGTCAGGAAGGCTCAACAAAGAGTCGAGAGTGTGGCTTTCTGTCTCGACACTTGCACCAGTAAATACCTTGTTGTCAAAAGTCTTGACGACTTTGACACCATCGGTCGACGCGAGACCGTCACGGCGTTGAGTTGAGCCCTAGTAACGCTGGTCAACAGCAAACTCATTGGGGAAGCACAGAATGCATGCTCACCGGCGCAAACTCCACGATAAAACTCTTTGAAATAAGCCGATTGTTGTCTCTGAAGTCAACAGTCTCGCGACTATTCAACGCGGAGTAAGTCCCTGCTTTGACAAGCGGGAGTGCAAGGGCGAACGAGAACAGCCGCATTGTGGTCTAGACGCCGCGCGAGCAGGCGTTCAGGAAAGGACAAAAGCTCGGTGTCCTCATCTATGTCGCGCCAGTCAAGCCCGTGCTCTCCCCGCCTTGATATAAGTGTAGACATCTCTGGTTTCTCTACTCCTCGTAGATACGCGGGATGGTGGTCATTCCAGTCCGTTGTTGATATCAAGATCCGAGGAAGATAATGCTCGTTTTCGGACGCGGTCTGCGCAAAAAGCACGGAAAGCCCCTGGTCGGACTACATTTACGAGGTTACAGTGCATCATGAGGCACTGCGTGCCTGGATTGAGGTCGCAACGCCGTTGCCAAGATGTGATAATGAACGACCAAAGACTCGATCACGCGAAATGAGATGAAATACCCCTAGGTATTTATCATAACCCATGCCGACGCGACTCGGTCGCGTGCTTGACAGATCACGGGACGGCCTATGGTAAGAGAGCTTGACATTAAATGTTAATTGATCGCGTGCTGCACCCCAGCTCAGTGCTAATCCACCTTCCTCGTTCAGATTCTTGGCATCCGCGGGAACGGATAAGACTGGCCTTATCACCGAGGGTTCAGTGCCTCTGAAGAACCTTATTTCAATTGGACTGTGTGTGCGAATCCCGAGCATCGCTTTGTTGTGCTAACAATTCGTGAGGTGGCTTTGGGCAATGGCTTTCATGGCGATTGGTGGGCTAGATAAGGTAAATTGGTCTAGAAAGGGTCTCATTCTGGCGAATCTTGTTCAAGATGAGCGAGTGTGTTCTATCTTTCCCGGAGGGATGGGCGATAGCGCCCACTATGTGAGTATCCCCATTCGCATATTTTCCCTATGCTCTCATATGGATTCATGGCGCTATGTTGAGACTTTCCCTGTGAATGTGACGGCCAATTGAGCCGTGGTCGGGCAATCTATCCTCCCTATCTCGCCCCCGCAATGGTTATCTGGTTGGAGGGTTCAAGCCGCAACGCTTGAGGATACCGCTGCTGTTGACGGTTCCGAGGCCCGGGGGCGCAGCTCGATCGGCGCGTCGGAGTTTGCCTGGGGTCTCGGGTTTGGGTGCCGAGCCCGCGGAGCACAAAGCGACCCCATCAAGTTGGTGAATGCCGGACGTCTGAACTCACTTTGTATACTTTCAAGTGATCGCCCGCGGGTTTCGGGCATGAACACAGTCAGAACAATCGCCGTGATGACAGTCAGGCCCCCGAAGAGGAAGTAGGCGCCATACGCTGAAGCAGATAGCAGGATCGGAGTGATGAGAGCCACTAGCCAATTGGTGAACTACGCCATGTCAGTGACGTCGAATCGAAGAAGAACAAGAACAGCACTCACAAATGAAGACGCCATGCCAATCGAGTTTCCCGCGGCTCTGGTGTTGCCGGGTAGAATCTCACTGGCGTAGATCTTGCCGACGACATTCCAGGTAGCGCAGTAGGCCATGCCGAATGCGAAGACTGAGATTACGACAACCCAACGAGCAGCTCCTGTAGGTCCCACCGCCCCAGCTGCGTAGAGGCTTCCCATGAGCATCATAAGTCCAGAAAGAATGATGCCACCGCTGATTGCCGATGTTCGTCTTCCCCATTTATCGGCTAGGATAGAAGCCGGGATAGACACGACCAGCATCGTGATGGAAGAAACCCCGGATGCGATCAGCGAGGAGTTGGACTGTGAGATGCCAGCCTGGTCGAACAATGCGGGCGCGTACTATCTTGGTCAGTCTTTTTGTCAGAGAGATAGAACAACTAGGGTATCTTACATAGGTGATTGCATCAATCCCTGATAATTGGATCATCGACAGAATGAAGAGCGTCAACAAAGTCCTCGACCGGTACGGCCCACGGAAAGGCAGAAGAAAGTTCTGCCTCGTGGAAAGACTAGGCTGCTCTTGCGGCGTGTTGAGAAAGTCTCGCCGAGCCTCGTCCATGTCGAAGTCGAGCAACTCAAGAGCTGTTACTGCCTCTTGCGTCGTGCCCCAGAGCAGCAGCCATCGCGGTGACTCAGGTAGAACTCGGCAGACAAGAGCAAGCATGATTGAGACTGAGATCTGGACCACGTACGGGAGACGCCACGCGGTGCTGTCTTCAACTGAGCTCGTCGTGTAGCAGGAGAAGTACCCAATGCAAATCCCGAGAGTTGCCATGAACTGCGGCAAAGCCGCAAGTCGACCTCTCCGGCGGGAGGGAGCTATCTCTGCCAGATAGACGGCGATGTTGCCCAGGAAAATGCCCTGGCCAACGCCGCTGACTGCACGACCTAGAATGAACTGGCCCAAGCTGAAAGATGTCGTTTGTAGGAGTCCACCAAGGGCGAAGAGCGCGGCGCCCGGTGATATGATGCGCAGTCGTCCATACTTGTCTGCTAGCTGACCCGCGAGCAGTGAAGGGATGATGCCCGTCAACAGAATCATTGAAACTGTGATACCTCGAACGGTCGCGGAAAGATCTCCGAATGTTATCGCGAACTGTTTCATGTGTACTACTGAGCCGATGGTGCCTGTGTCATAGCCATTAAGGAAACCCCCAAACGATAGGGCGATGGTCACCGTTACGTAGTTCGGCATCAGTTTCGCAAAATGCGGCATGTTGACGCGTTGGAAAATGATTACTTTCTAAAGAATCAAGGTAATTGTATCAAAGGAGCAATGCAATACGCTGAGGCAGTGTGTTGTTGGGAAGTCAAAGCCGGCGGTGGTTACAACCCCGCAGTAGTTACGCGCATGTCATCTCACCCGTCGATCACTTCTGCGCCCGTCAAGGAACTCCATCACGTGCGTGAGATGATAAAAGCCACGCTCATAGATGATGAAGGGTGTCAAGTACTTGATTCAGTTTTTTCAGGTGTAATTACATCCAATCAGATATAATTGCGGGCCAAAAAGCATCATTGAACAGCGCTGCCGATTTTATGACGATTTAAACCTCAATTCAATTTTAATAAAAATGTTGGAGCAGAACATTCCGGAATCACATGGTCCGAGCCTCTATCTTTAATAAATAAGCAGAGTGCAAGCAGTCATCTTCATTGCTTGAAACATCTACATTTGCATTAAGACTGCGTCCACTGCCACTGATTACGAGACATTGTTACTCTCATTGGCGTGTATGCATGACGATGTCGAGATAGTACGTGAATATATCCAGCTTTGTCATATGCTGTCGCGTGATATAGCACGTGACTTACTTTCCGTCAAAAATTGAGATACACACGTAGGTATCCCTGGCTGGGTATCACAAATGCACTTGATGTCGGCTTCACAGAATATTACTCTCGATATGCTACTGACGTATAGCCCGAATGGTAACAATTTCTCGCACCTTTTGCTCATTGCAAGTTCTCCTATTTCGCCGCTAAGAGTCGGCACGCATACGGCATGATTCACTGTTTTGCATTTCGAACTTCACTTGAAATGACATTGGCTCCGCTGATACTTTCTATCTATGTTCTATCACTTTTATTATGAATCCTTCTTCGCATTGGAATACGTGAAAGCGGACGACGGCATTCCGAATCGTCCGGCCGGGATTGCCTCAAAAAAGAAAGGTGGGGACACAAAACACAGAGATTTCGGCAAAAAGCCGAACAAGTAACCGGTAGCTTGGTCCGGGCTTCGGAAAGTCCGGCCGAGATGTTTTGACAGATTCGGGCCCGGCAGCGGAACGGACCAAGAGGCAGAAAAAAAGTCCCTTATGAAGTTGCTTGAGTCGTGGCAGTTTCTCCTCCGCCGATCACTTGCATCCGGCGGGCGCCGTACACGTGTGAAGAGAACAATGTTTTGACTTTTGACAGCGCGTGCGACATCTCCCGCGGTAAGACGTTCTTCATTAAACTGTATTATTTTCCGTGAGCTTATTCAGCGTTTGCATTGGACTCTCGGTGGCCAATGCTACCCCCGTCGGTGCCCGCGGGCGGGGAATAACTGACTCGGCTTCACACAAGATCAGCGCTGTGTGGTCAGCTTGACTAATTCAACTTCATTGTATGAAAGCAGATAGATAGAAGGCTGGAAAGAAGTCGAGGATGCTCTTTGAAAAGGTGTGAGGCTGTCGTGATTTATATGATGTTCGGCGAACAAAAGTGAGGTTGCAGCGACCATTGTGCATCGAGGCATTTCCATCGGAGACGCGTCCCAGTTGGTGTCGGATGTGGTGCTTGAAAGGGGAAGGTCGATGACACCAACCCCAGCAGATCCACCAGAACGCAGGACCCTTGACTCTGGAGGCATCCCACCCCCCTTTTGGCTGTCCTGGATGGAAGCGTGCCCAATGGAACCAGACCAACACTGAGGGACAGAAGTTGGCACGTACCTTGCATGTGCCGCGCGTGCCAGCCCTCCCACAGGCGCGAGAATAATTCCGGCCGACACCACTGGCAAGGGAACGTCTAATCACTGGACCACCTCATTTTGACCCGAACGTGGGGTTCTCCAGCTTCCTATACGAATACCGAGTGCTCGTTGTGACAAACAGGAACTTCTGCCCAAATCTAGTGGAGATGACTTCACTCTTAGCGACCCAAAGTTCTGGACACTGACCCCAGCATTGTCAGCTTTCATTCACCGCTTGGGGGGAGTCAATTTGTCAAACAACCTGTCAAAGTTTCAGGGCTTGTACGCAAGGAACATTAATCGTCGGAGCTCGGAACACGGTCGAAATATTTCAAGTTATCTTCATGTGATTGTCTGTCATGATTCAGTGACGCTGCTCGGGATAGCCCCAGATTCAAAGGCGAAGTCCAAGTCTCGACCGCTTGAGGCTTCACCTGAGAACCCACGACGAAGGGTAGCTACCCGTACGGATACCCTTAGCGTATGCGAATACGGTTACAGTCTCAGCCTTGGGAAGTAAGGGGAATGGCTTCGAGTATAGACCCGCAAGCAATGTCACATTATCGACAAGATGTCAGGCAGTCCTCCGCAATAGAACCAACATTATTCACGGGTCTCACTTTCAACGGTAAGGAATGATGCTAAAGTAACTTTAACGCTTGAATATGAGATCTATCCATAATTCTATTCCCAGTTCTATACACAAAAACAAGACAAAGAACAAGCATAACTCGCAAAGAAGATGTGCGGGATGTGGTATCAAGGACAAGGGTGTATTGGCATTATATCGTGCGTATCCTCGGTGGTTCTAAGAGAAGACCTCCAAAACTCCTATCCGTTCCAGACGTCCCTGAGATTTGATGGGCTCTCTCGCAAAGTTGGCAGATGGTTTCTCGGCAGGTCCTAGGGGTATCGATGGCCGCACGAGCGTTGGTGGCAGCGGGCTGGGCCGTGGCAATGTTACGAGCCACTTATTTGTGCTCGCCCTGGCCAATGCAGTAGGGGACGGGGTAGGTGGTGCTGTTGCAAAGGCGGATGACACCCTTGACCCAGGCAAGGTTGCCGTAGGACTGGTCAGAGTAGCTGTCGGAGGTGAAGGCATCGACGGTGGGGCTGTCGGTGCATCCAGAGAAGATGTTGCCAGTGACGCGGCGAACGTTGGGCTGGGAGACGACGAGGCCGTACTGGCCGTCGGGGACGGTGAAACGGAGGTTCTGGGACTGAGTGGTGGTCCAGGTTCTCGTGTAGCTGACGGAGAGGGAGATACCGAGGGCGATCTTGGCAATAGTGGTGGAGACACCGGCGGTGACGGCAACGGAGTTGGCCAGGGAGTAGCCGCTGTCGACAGAGACGGCGACGTCGTTGCCAGCAGCAGTGACGACGGGGGAGACAGCAATGTCCCAGTTGAGGAACTCCTCGTCGCTGAGGACCTGAACCTCGGTGGACTCCTTGCAGCCACGGCGGGAGAGAACATCGCCGAGGGCGGGGGCGGGAGCGACGGGAAGGGCGGCGCGGCGCTCGAGAGCGTCGTACTCGGAAGCCTTCATGACAGTGTGGGTGCCGTCCTCACCAACAACGATGACATCGTCGAAGTTGAGAGGAGCGGGGCCAGGAGCCGGAGCGGCGACAGCAGCGCCAATGAGGCCGGCAGCGGTAAGAACGGAGAAACGCATCTTGATGGTTGTTGGTAGTTGGTTGAAAAGAGTGGAAAGTGGGTGGTTGTTCTTTGCAAAAGAGCGACTTTGGAAAGTAAAGACTGAAGAGTTGCTGAGTGACTCGTTGAGAAAAGAATGTGGGGAAGGAAGTGTATTGGAGAATAGACTGATGATGCAAGTAGAAGATATTCCGGATCTCTGGGTGGGAAGAAGGTGTTCTTATACAATGCTGGTGTCAAGATGTTTAAGCTTGTGGATGATACAATGTTCCCCAGTTACAAACTTAGACTTTGGACTTTCGCTCTCGGATGTTCGCAAGACGGCTTCTGCGTCTGTCAAGCCGCCCGCCCATGTCCATGACTCTCCATGACATCCACGGTGAAGCGCACATGCGCGCGCTCGCCAGGCCGAAGGGGTTGGAATGGATATCGTTGCCAAGAATCCCTACGGGGCTGCCGGCATGACCACCATGACACCAGAGCGTGGTGATCGGGCCAGCCGGTCAGGGCTCGATAGGTTCGACATAATCAAAATCCCATTTGGGAGGACTTGTTATCATCAACCTGAACAATATGACTGAAGCAGGCCCAGCGACAGTACGACCATGCGCTGACTCGGATCGTGGCAGGGCGGCGATCGGTGAGGTCCCGTTGTGGGGAGAGCGCGCGGATGGGATGCTGGGCAAAGAGGCTAAGAGAGTTGGATATCAGATGGGCTGGGCTAATGTTGGAAAATGGGACGAACACCAACAAGGCAAAGGTAGGGCGTAGCAGTTTCACATTGAGATGGTAGACGCCGGATCCGGGTAGCGGATGGTGTTGTGCGCGTGGAGTAATGTGCGGCTCTGGGGTTGTATCGCGTAGTCATCTGATCCATTGGTCTCGCGGGAGCGGCTACGAGTCAGTCAACAACCGCAAGTGGTCCCGACTCACCGTTTCATGCAACACCATCCATGAACCCCCTACATAGCCTAATGCAGAAGGCGGCTGGAGATTATTTGCTCATGCGCGTCTTCTCCCCTGTAGAAACCCCAGAAGGTCCCCCCTAATGCCAAGATGCCCGTGTTAGACGCAGATGGGCACACTTGAACTCAATCAGCCCAGCTAGCAAGGACTCAAAGACGTTCAAGCTCCAAAGGGCTGAGGTAAACCCTGGGAGTTTCCTCTTTAGAACACACATTAAGTTTGATGACGGATGGTCTACAGAAAGAGCCCTGCTGGATAGCTGCACCGCCATGAGGGGCGCCCAGAGGTCACATTCATCCACACGGTGAGTCCGCTCCTCAATGATGATCAAACTCCTATTGCGGGCCACGAGTCCGACGGACCTTGGAGACGAGCGCGCGCCGACAAAGGCGCGCGGATGTGGGACTTCGGCCTGTCTGACAGTGGGATCATGGATGGTGGTCCTTGTCTCTTTGCCGAACGTGTTGGTCAGAGCATGACCTTGGTTATCCGAATGCGATAGATTGTCTATTGGGAAACATGGCAAGGCCGTGACTCGTTGTAACTTACCTTCGATGTTGTGACCGTGGATATAAACCTCCATAGGTTCCTCCCCGATATCATGAAGTTTATCTCTATCCTCATCAAACTCCACACATTCTTTTCTTCGGTCCAGATCCAGTAATCTACCAACTCCGTTCATTCTTTTCACAAACACCTCCGTTACAGTCACTACCTTACCAACTACCCAACAAACAACCCACCCAAACCGCCAAAATGCAGTTCTCCATCGCCAAGGTTGCTTCTCTCTTCGTCCTCCTCTCGGTTGCGTAAGTCTCAATCCAGCCACCTGGGATACTTTGGAGCTTCCTACTAACGCCGAACTAGTTCTGCCGATCTTCACGACAACTGCGCCTGTGACAACGGTGACAGCTACAACTGGCGCATCACCACCAAGGCTTGCGAGCTTTACGCCTCCAAGAACTACCAGTGGGGCAAGGGTACCTACAACACCGAGACTGGACGTGTAAGTCTACCCCACTCAACGCTTTCAGAAAGACCATAGTACTGACTTCAGTCAAACAGTGCGTCCAGAACTCCGCCAGCGACCAGCTCGCCGGTAAGGAGTGGGAGGCTGCTTGCCGCGAGATCGCCAGCACCGGCTTCGACTGCGCCGACGGCAAGGGCCTGTACTGCAAGGCCAACCCCGACGAAGTTCGCGGCCGCTGCTAAGCGTCTCTCGCTTAGAGATATCCTGGGGGGCCCAAAGATTCGGGAAAGCCATCCTCTCCTCCTTCACACTAGCAAGGCCAGCCTGTTCATAAGGCTGGATGAAAACAGCCCAGTCATCATGCACTCCACACCCACCATCCTTAGCCGGCTCTCTGGATCGTGGTGCCTACGAGGAGAATGAAATACAACAGGCTGCCTTGATCTGGGGAGATGGCTTTGCAACATCGGTAGTGGGAATTTTGGTCCGTTTAGTTTTTCACGAAATTCGAGGCGTTGCTGGTGTTTCGTATCAATACCTATAGATGTGTGGCATTGCGAGTCCTAAATATGATGGTCGCTCTCTGAGCATCTTTCATAAATCCAACAAATAGATCTGCTATGTTTTGCAATTACCTCAAAGTTCAATTTGCCATGCTTCAGTTGCTTGATACACATGATTCTTTGGTATTGAATGAAAGTGCAAACGAACCGCAACATTGCAGCTTTCAGGCACATAACAACGGCGGATAGTAAAGTTCGATCTGCGGACACATGGCAAGATTCTTCGAACATACATGTATTTGCCATCATTCTGCAAATACTTAGGTTGCCTCGTGCACTTCCAAGCTAAGAGTGATGCTCAGAGACCGCAGTATGCTTCGTCCAGAGTCAAAGGCTCTCCCAGCTGCTTGGAGTAAGCCCTACCAGGACCTAGCTCGCATTGTTGGACTCGCGCATCTGAACTGATACCGTGACATCCCGCTCGCGGGGCTGCCGATGAGCTGCGCCTCTATTTTCGACATACCGCTTGCAACCATCCATCTTAGCAGCTCGCTTCACACCACGCTATCGTCAAGCGACAAAACGACCCGCACCAACAGCCAGGTATCGAGGCAAGGATTGCTCGCTTCTTCAGATGCGATGAGATAACAGACTCTCATTCGTACTCGGTCAAATCCGGATTACGGTACAACGGTCAATAGATTGAAAATGTGGATGATGGCTTTCTTCGTTGCCTATTCGTGAGAAAATGGGAAGGTTGACACGCCGAAACCAAGGCGATTCTAGAACAAATGTCGTGATGAGCAGCACGTCAACTGGCGTGGAAGTCCCAGCATGCTTTTGGCGAAACTCTAATTAAGGGGACAAATTCGGTAGCATCCGCGCCCGATTCGGGATGGGGGATGATGGAGACGACATGGGCCTTCGTGGGACTCTTCGTGGGACTGCGTGGCCGTGACTAGGGTCTACCTTGACATGACTCTCCAGCAACCAGAAAACCTGCAAGAGTCCTGGTTCTTTCCTGCACAGTCAACAAGTCTAACGTTCCAGATTTAGTTCTGGCCTGCAACGTCACGCCCCTGAGCTTCCTCAATGAAGAATCCCCTTTCTTGGCATCCCAACACGTGCCCGCTCTTATTCGATCATATTTATCAAATCATTAATTGCCATCTGTTTATCCTCTTCGTGCTCGGATACCGCGGAATGATGTTTGCTGGAGGATCGTTGTCTTGCATACTCTAAAGGTGGGCGATCTGCTATTTTTGACCATCAGGGTGGTGATGTCGATATGAGTACGAAGTTATGTGTCATGCTATAGCCATAAATATGTTTATTCGCATTGTACGATGTGCAAGCAAGCATTGGTCTATGCATTTTCTCCCTTTCTTCATCTCTTCATCCCTATCTTTTTCTGCTAGGCACAAGTCAATGCCTCCTTCACATTTCCGTCTTGGCCAAGGATAGACGTGGTTGCTGCTGGCCGCAAGGAACGGGTGGTGGACAATGCGCCGAAAACGTGAAAACGTGTTGACATTACTCGTAATGCGGAAATGTTGTCCACATCGAGGATTTCCCTCTTTTTTACTTTCGGGCGGAGTCGCGCGTCCGCAACTCAGAAATTCTGGGGCCGCGCACGTGTATATTCGGCCGATCGGTCGCTGTCTGGACCCGAACAGTCTGACCCGCCGTGGGCAGACAGACTGACTCGGTGAGCCCGACCATTTGGCCGGTGCTGACGCGGAGGAGGACTCGGAGGCAGAAGTTCACTATCGGTTTCAATGACGGGCAGAATTGAACACGAGAACCTTTATGGGTTAATATGTTCTGATCCTTGGGATGTTCTTCCTATACTACATGAGATACAGGGGATTCATAGGTATTAGTTCTCAAAGTTGAGATTACCTCTGTTCTATCTGAGCCAAGTTTTGGCCCTTGCAATTGTGGAACAGATCAGCTGCAGGCTCCAGTAGAATCATCACATCGCCATCTAACCAGCGTCATGGACGGAAGTCAATCGCCGATCAACTCACTAAGGCTCTCCGCTATGCGATCATTCGTCGTCATCAGACTACAAATCCGAGATTCTCGGTCTCAACTTGTTTATCGTGTGTTCTGAGTCAGTCTCAACGCAGTTCTATTGGGTCAGAGACTTACCAATACTTCTGCCCAGAGTTCATCAATCTTAGAGCTATTGGAAGGCTTCACGCAGGTCAGGCCAGTAAATTGATAGCTTGCGATCATGACTCTAGCCATACCGAGCGCGCTATGGGGGATGATATCATTTCCACACGAATCGGCTTGTTCGCCGCGTGGAACGTCGAAAATGAGACGAACACTCCGCGCTGACTTGCCGACTTGACTCTACCATCTTGAGACCGACAAAGCTAGGCACGGGTATATAATCGCACTTTCCCACTCCATGGTGCGTTAATGGTTGCTAACAACGTTCCATCGGGGTTCCCAAAGAGTCAACATCATCTCAGAGCAACCTCCAAGAATCATAGTGAAAGTCTTTCCATGGATCCCAAGGAGATTCTCATGAGGCTTCAAGGATATCATGTCTTGCTGCAGGTTACCTTGATGCCGTGTTTTGATTCGGCTTTGACACACAAGTCTAACTCGCGAAAACGTGGGGCCTCTTTTGGTGGAGGTTGAGGCGGAAGGTTCTCCATGGCCTATGACTCTGGGAGGCTAGACGTCGAAACCTCTTCATG